TGGCTTGGAATCGAAGGATGTGGTAGCTGTAAAGTGTTGAACAGTCTTGGACACAGCGACATGCGACACGCCGAACGCGGCTGCCACGGTGCGTTGGCTAACCCCAGCTGCCACCGCACCGCAAATGGCTGCACATGCAGCAGGGCTCAATTCCTCGTGTTTCTTGCAACCAGCCGTCAAGATGCGGCCCAAATCGGTCAAATCGAGTGCCATTTGGGGAAGTTGTGGTGGTGTGAAAGTTCGAGGATGATAGTGGACGCGTCGAGGAGACGCGTAAAGTGGGTGGGGTGGTAACAGACTTTTGGAACCCCACTGTAATTATATACTGTACTGTATGCACACGTGTAGGGCCTGTAGTGGATCTCCACGTCCCAGACTGACCTGAGAAGCTTCTACCCATGCACACCAATCGCCAGCAGCTCGCGAGCTCTACACAGTAACCGCGTCCTGCGACTCGAACCTCAGATGGAAATTCGGGCGATCTTGACTACCATTAATTGCGCCCACATAGACGATTTGCCATGCAATAGCCCCAGGTGCTACAGAACGTTGGTTCTTCGCCTTTCGCTTTTCTTGCTCTGACCGAGGAAATGGAGGGCGCCGCAAGTCGCATCGTCGGGGTCCAGTAGTCGTTGCGGGTGGTCAAAGCCGACCAGAGCTCTTCTCCCCAATCAACATGTCGAGCGAAGGTTTCTTCGGCAATGGAGCCGATTTCCACCCGTATGCCCAGTCTCCCAAGTCCCGAAAAAGAAGTACTTAGTTCTGATCTCTACCCTTCCAGGTCATTCCTCGGAATCCTCATCGGGTGCGGCGCTCTGTAAGTGTCTGTGTAGTCCACGAATCCTTTCGCCTACTGACCGAAACTAGATCCGTATTCTCCTTGCTGTATTTCAACCGCGTATTCGCTTCCATCGTATCCTGGGGAATCAGAACATACACATGGCACCAGTACGGCGTCTACATCGACATCCAGGCTCTCCAGATCTCGCTGCTCGCTGGCCGCATATTCTTCACGGGCCTTCGATACCATGGCAACAACGAGACCATTTTGGTGCAGAACGGACACATTACATGGGCCTACTGGCTGCGAAGGGTGCGTGAGGTCAATATTCGAAACGGGAAGGGAGTGGAGCAGGGCGCCGATACTGCCACACGAGACTTCTCTTCAAAGCTTCCATGCAGGATCAAGGTGTCTCTCAGGGGTTTGGAATGGTTTGTTTACAACCGAAGTCCCGCCTACGACTCGGTTCTCTCCGGCCTTACAGCTTCCGCAGAGGCCGTTCCCGGACCCGAGGTGAATACTGGGCACACTGGTCCAGGTACCACAGCGCCGGATCCTCCGGCCCAGCTGAGACGAAGGCGGTCGGGTCGACAAGAAACCCCAAGGAGCTCGTCGCCCGCGCGCATTTCCGTCATGACTGAGAAGCCGGGCACCGCTCGGAAGAACGACTCCAGCAGTCACGCTGACACAAGCCGCACCTCCAATCCCGACTTGTCCACTTCCGACCACGACAGGGACCCACATGTGAGTGCCCCAGACGGCAACGCCGATCTCCCATTGTTTCTGCAACTCCTGCCGATTCACTTGGAATCTGATCGGGCGGCCCTGGTGATGGGAAACGAGAATACGAAGGCCATCCTCATTGTCAAGGCAAGCTCCTTGTCAGGCGAAATCGATGCTTTCGACACCGAGACTATTGACCCTTATCGGCAGTATTTCCGATTCAAGTTCAAAAAACCGGTGATTGAAATGAAAGAGAACATGGACTTCAGAGAGGAGCAAGCCGACCGAGCCATTCGAGACAAACAGGCTGCTCAGGGGTCGCTATTCACCCCCAAACGATCCTTTCTGCATTGGCAAAGGCGCAGGCTCCGGGAAGGTCTTAGGAACATGATTCCATTCTGGAGCAGATCGGTCGAGTCGCTTTCTCCCTCTGCCAGAGCAATTGGAACGGCTACTAGTCAAGTACCCGGGGCAGGCCAATGGCAAGGTCTCTCACGGTATCTATCCAATGACGCTGAAGATCAGAAATCCCGGTGGGCTTCGTGCGAATACGCTGCGGTTCCAACACTCCTAGACAGTCCTGAAGCATCTTTGACGATATTCTGGGATGTGCCAGCCAAGGTTGGACCCGTTTCCGCATCCTCACAGGAGAAAATCCCGGGGCGAGCACCTAATATCAATGGTGCCGAGCCCCCTGCATGGGCTATCAGCCTGTCCATTAACGGGGGCTCCATCAATTACGGCCCCTGGGCTGACAGAAACCGGGCGGATCTTCAACGTACCTTCGTCCCGAGCCTCTGCAAGGACGCAGTCCCGGCCCACCCTTTGGCCCCAGGTGCATCTCGGGTTCCTACTGAGTTCAAGTTCTATGTAGAGATTACGGATGAGACCACCATCCGCCTTCCCGTGAGAGAGGCGTCGAAGAACTGGAGATGGAAAGGCAAAGAACCCAGTCCGAAGAAGCCGCAGAGCAGTGACACGCGCAAGGCTCGTCGATCTAAGAAATCAGATGGGCCAGCAGACCTTCATCAGCGGCCTTTCGGGTGGCTCGACCTCAAGGTCCCTGCCAACGCAACCGTGTCGTACTCGATGGACATGGTGGCCGGCGCTTCCGGCTACACCAACACACTAGATGTCGATTTTCCTACCACAGAGATCTCGAGCAGCATCAACCATGAGGTTCTGTTACGATCCGGACGCCAGAGGATATCCTGCAATCTGTCCACACCGTTACGCTGGAATGCCCTCCGCCAATGGTACTTCAATATCAACAGCGAGGATTTGGAGCTTTTCATCTTGCGGGACCATGTCTTCCTCTTGATTGATCTAGTGGATGACTGGACCAGTGGCCCCTCGCCGGACTACTTGATTTTCACCCCCTTCAAATACCATCTCAACCTGCAGCTGCAGAGCGTCCAGCTCTTCTTGAACCTCAACGACGCGAACATCGTCAACAACCCAACCGAATTGGAAGACAACACGTATCTCATCATTTCCAGTCCGCTGCTAAAGTCCGAGACGTGCATTCCCGTCGACAAGTACAGGCCCAACGAAAATGCCATCCCCTTCGACATTCGTGCTGACACTGCGGCGGTCGACCTTCACGTGCCTCGGTGGAACACACAAGCGCAGTTTGTCGCATCCAGAGAGGTTGGCCGGCTGGAAAACCTGGTCATTGACGGTGCTTATCATTACCATTCGACGACTTCGCTCGCAAACACCGACACTCTGGTCCTGAAGGTCAGCGGCCAGTCGCCAACGGCGCGCCTTCATGGCTTCACCATCCGCCACTTTCTCATGCTCAAGGACAATTATCTCGGCGATCATATTCACTTCAGGACACTGGAGGAATACCAAGACATGCTACGTCTGAAGGAGAGCGACCCGGACGCCGAGCTTGCCAGCAAGCCGCCGCCTAGGAAGTCGAACGACTTGGATGTCATATTGAGTATCCGAGCAGATGATCCAAAGGTCCTGCTCCCAGCCGGCCTATATTCCTCCCAGCGCCACATACAGATCGACGCCGCAAGCTTGTGTCTCGACCTACGCTTCACCAACTACTACATGGATATGGATCTGGTAGTGGCCCCGCTGAATCTTTCGTTGGAAAATTCGGAGTCCGGCACAGACACCCCGATGAGTGCGACATCAAGCACGCAGATGTTTATCGATGGACTGCATGTTTATGGGCATCGCCTCTTTGGTCTCCCTCCGGTCGAACCCACCTACATGTGTAACTGGGACCTTTCGCTGGGGGCTCTTACTGGCGAGTGTACCACCGAGTTCTTGATGGCCCTGGTCAGCGCAGGGGAGGCATTCGCATTCACATTTGACGACGACGAAAATGCCCTGATACCGTTCTCGTCCATTGTGGTTCACGATGTCACTTTCCTTCGGGTCTTCGTGCAGTCAGTCCGCCTCTGGCTTCATGTTGAAGACGCTGCCTTTCTATTCTCTACGGGGACAATCGATATTAACTACAACGACTGGGCGCGGTCACATTATTCCCGGAGAGCCAGCATCAACATCCCGGATATTAAGCTGTCCTGTCTCAACGCAGAGTTAGCCACAAGACACAAAGTTCGTTCACAGCATGCTGTGGAGGCGGACGCGCTTGTTGAAACAAGCGTGCGGGTAGCCATAATTGGGCGGAAAGCACACTTTTCCAAGGAAAGGAAGCTCCAGCAGGGCCTTGTGCGCAAACACGACCAACGGACACAGAGAACCCCGTTTCTCGTTGTCCCGGGCCTTGTGGAGGACGACTCAATCCCAGATCTTTTCGACCCTCCTGCACAGAGTGTCCCGCGGGTTCCCATGCCGGTCGGCTTAGAAGATGTAGGGAACGATAGAGCGTCGCTGCGCTCGAAGGCGAGCTCGAAACGATCACGGCGCCTGCGCCAAAAGTCCTCGTTCTTGTCTCTTGCTAGTTCGGCACCAAGAAGTGTACTCGAGCCTCCCCAATCAAGGCGGTCGAGCGGGGAGGAAAAGCTCCCGGAACGGTTCAATTACCAATCTCCGCTGAGTGCTCGATTTGACGAGAAAGGCAACGCGTCCATGCATGGGCGCGAGCTCTCTCCCTCCACTCGCCATTCCGCCTTCTACAGCATGCCTGGCGATCCTGGTGAGCAGCATGATCCCACCCACAACACCGTGGCTTTCTCGAGCCAATATTTCGCACCATACTTTCCGCTTGAGAATATCAGACCGAGCCATGGGGAAGCAATGGTGCAGAGCGTCGAAATGGACAATGAAGACTCGACGGGCTTCGACTCGGTCACGTTTGATCTGGAAGATGTTGACCCGAGCCTTTTTAGCGAAGAGTTAGCCTATTCGAGTATTCTGCTCGAGCTGCCTTCGGGTTTGACAGCGTTCTGCAACCCTACCTCTTTACGATATGTTGCGAGCCTTCTCTCGTCCCTACAGCACACCGAACCCGAGTCCGTTCTGGACTCATTGCAGATCGACTCGATGAAAGCGATTTTCGATGCACAAAAGGACCAGACAGTGAAGGGGCGAGTCAACGACGTGTTGGTCAGGCTCCCACACGTCAACTTCCGTCTCATCAGTTTCCCTGAAAGGGACTCTATGGAGCAAGCGGATGATGAGCAAGATCAATACGATGTCACGTTCTCCGGGCTCTCCTTCACATCACGGTCTCACGCCACTTGGCAGGACGCCTTTGAGCCGCAATCGAGAAGCGTTCGTCATTCGTTTCACCTGAGACTGGGCTCGGCGGAAGTGTCAGCTACCGAGAGACTCCGCGGGATGCAGAGCACTCAGGCAGCTGCTCTTGTCCGACTTGAGAGTGTCTTGGCTTCTATGGGTACCAAGGACGTCATATACTGTGATGCAGAAATTGGCGGCATCCACTGCAGCACATCCTCAGGAAAAGTTGACTATCTGGCATCTTTGGCCCATAGAGCCGGCGTCCTGGGATCCGAGGTTGGAAGGATGTTCTCCGAGGCGTCATCGCGAGAAAAAATGGCTGTGCGAAGTTTGGTACACCGCCTTGTTACCACGGGCGAACGGACTCCGGATCCGTCCTTTTTGATACGGCCTTCTGCTGTGCTTCGTTCTGCTCGCCAACATTTACGGACGTTCGACTCATGGAAGCTAGCCATGCGGCTCCGCCAACTGTGGGTGATGTTGGCTCCGGATGCAGGAGAGTGGCTCAAGCTTGATTGTCTTGCACCTCCTTCAGCCCCAACAGCGGCGTTGAGGCGGGAAGTTGTCACAGCATTTCAAAGGTGGCGGAGCTGGGACCTGGGCAATCTTGACGAGAGCGTGCTCCTGAATATGATATTCGGACCGGCAGATGTCGGCCCCAAAGTCTCATCTCAGGACAGGCCGACGCTCGCTGTGCTGAAGGTCAAGCAGATTCAGCTCGCTCTGAATCCGGGACCGAAGCAAAATGCGGTCACTTTGGTGGATCTCGTCACACGACTCGAGAACAGTCCAGCCACGTCTGGCGAGCAAGGTGACGGCATCGGCGGGGTGGTGGGCGGCCCATTGACTACCTTAAAAGTCTCGTGTGAGGATGCTGCCATCAGCATGAACTGGGAGCTGTGTGAGCTAGCAGAAAGTATCCTGAGGCTAACCAAAACCATGCAATCGCGGGCATCTGTTCGAGTCCCCGGCGAGCCACAACCGTCCAGCCGCTCGTCCACCAGGCAGCCATCATCGCAGGGCAGCCTGCATTGTGTTCTATTGCTCGGACACGGCTCGCTGGCGTTGGAGGCTATCAATCTCTACTCGGCGTCAGTCAGCAACGGAGCGCAGGCGTCGATTCTCATCAGGAAGGGTGCGGACAAAACCATGGACACAAACCTGATTCTCAGCTGCGAGTCGGTTACCTCGAGTCTCCGACACCACCACCAGATACTGGTAAAATTGACCATGGAAAAGCCCAGCGTGTTTGTGTCTCACGAGTTGCGGCCCCGCCAGACCACTGACTGTCATACCCTCAAAATAGCGGCAAGCAACGAAAATCTCAGTCTTGTTGTTAGGCAGGACCCTGTCACCTTGGCCGAGGTCCTCGACCTCCTAGTCCGGGACGAGGTTGCCCAATTATACAAGCTGAAAACACAAGTCTCTTCGCCTCGATCTCCCTCATCTTCCAAGAAGATCAGTGATCGATTGTCTGCCTTCAGGGTCAACGTGGCCCTGTTTATGGATCGATATATTCTCAGCCTGCCTCTGCTGCCTTCGGTCATCTACACAGTCCACGGGACTGTTTCCAGGGCGGCGATGGCAGCAAATTTTGGCCGAGAAATCATCTTCGACTTCGACATCAAGGAAAACTCACATGACGTGCAAGTCAAAGTAAACAACATCTCTCGAAGCATTTCCCTCCTCCAGATACCGCCCACCAACGGGCGGGTCAGAAGCCATATGGAATCAGGGGAGCATTCCATCAGCGTCTTTGCATCCGTCGAGTTGGTGCAATTGGACGCCTCGGCCGTGTACAGCCTCATGTCGGCCCTAAACCGCCCCGAGATTTCGAATGTTATCAATGAGCTGCAGCAGCAGGTCAAAATCATCCAGGGACACCTCGGCGAGATCACTGGGGAAGCACCCAAGACAGTCGCGAAGGCGACGGAGAAGTCGACAGCCCTGGTCTACTCGGCTCATCTAACCTATGCCGGTCTTGAGGTGTTTGGGAACAGCCCATTGAAGTCTGAAGCTGGACCCTTGGCGCACATCTCGTTCGCGCTCGGCAGCGTTCACCTCGGCATTTCCAACCGGGTGGAACAACATGGTCCGATGCTGACCTACCCGGAGGTCAACGTCGATCTGCGTCGCATTGCGTTTGAGATCCAGAGGGGCAGCCCCGAAGCCATGAAGTCGTGTGGCAATGTAGCCTTCGGCGCCTTGATTTCAGCCTCGTCGTGTGCCGGCGATGACGGCAAGGACAAGAGATTCTTCCACGTCAAGAGCGACGCGTTCGAGGTGAACCTCTCTCCTGATACCATTTCTACCGTGGTGGACGTCCTGGGTTATATGGGCAACAAGATCAAGGATCTCGACACTTCCCGAGAGCTCGAATATCTCCGGAAGCTAAGGCAGTCCAAGCCACGCATTGCCATCAACGATGCGGAAACAGAGGAGGAGAGCGATATTATCGACACCTTCCTGTCCTCCATCACTTACAGTTGTGAGATCTGCAATATTCAGTTGGCCTGGCTGGTCAATAAGGCCGTCGAGGAGCCGGCCCCTGGCAAGGAGGATCTTGTTCTCTCCCTGCAGAGGATCGAGCTCGGCACGCGCACCAGGAATTCGGCGAGGCTCACCATTGAGGGCCTACGGCTTCAGATGGTCAGCCTATCGCACGACAAGTCTACCCGGTCGCCCAATTCTGCACTGCTTCCCGAGATTGTTTTCAACGTCGCCTATGTGTCCACTGCCGACGCCCGCCGTCTTGCGTTCCAGGCAGTAGGGAAGTCGCTTGACCTACGGCTGACTTCGGGCTTCATTATCCCCGCTGCTCATCTGAACGACTCCATCAGCCTGTCATACAAGAATATTCAGCAGGCTTCCCAGAAGTGGAATCCGGCTGTCTCAAGCCCACAGCCAGCAACGGCAGCACCGTCGGAAGAAGCGCCACGGAAAAACATCCTCGGCGGAAAGAGACTCGAGTCTCTGCTCATCGACGCGGACTTTGCCGGAGCCGTTGTCCACCTAACAGGCAAGAAGGCCCCTGCGGACCTCATCTCGGCCACAAAATCAGCCCGGCCAACGAGCTTTGGAGAACAGGTGCAGCCTGGTCCAGACGAAGAGATGAGCAGCACAACGCTGAAGTCGCCGGGCCTGGCCTTGAAGGTGGAATTCAGAGATGACGGGAGGGATGATCCGTCGCTGCATGCAGAGGTCAAAATTGATGCCTCCAACAACACCCTGTATCCGTCCTTGGTCCCTCTGGTCATGGATATCAGCAACAGTGTCAAGAAGGTAGTAAGCAGCCGTGATCGCGAGGATCACAAGCCTGCTGTGCAGGCCCGAGAGGTTGTGGCCAAGGTCAAGCTCCCCGAGGAGGACAGTATCCTTACTGCTGATCCGACAGCCGTGCTGGGCCGGATGAAGCTCAACCTTGGACTGCGCATTTGCAAGCAAGAGTTCTCGCTGAGCTGCCAGCCTATTGCGCGAGTAACGGCCACGGCCAGCTTCGAGGACGTTTACTTCACTGTCAACACTGTTCGCTCCATGGAACAGGGCAACTTCTTCGCCATCTCGGGCGTCTTCACGAACCTGCAAGCCTCGGTGCAGCACGTATACTCGAGGGAGTCTACCGGCATCTTCAAGGTTCAGTCCATTGTTCTCTCGTTCTTGAACAGCAAGCACCTCAGCGGCACCAGCGGCGTGTCGGCCATTCTCAAGGTTAGCCCCATGGAGGTGTCGGTCAACGCGAAGCAGCTCCAGGATTTCATGCTCTTCGGCGAGATTTGGCTCCCGCACAAGGCCGCAGATCCGTCAGCAGGCCCGGTGGCAAAGCTGGTCACGGAAACTTCTCAAGGCCACCTTGTGCAGCGCTACCAACAGGTTGCTGCGACCGCGGCTTTTCCCTGGACAGCCAGCATCTCCATCTCGGCGCTCAAGATCGTCGTGGACCTCGGCCAGGCGCTAGGCAAGTCGACATTCTCCATCAACGACTTTTGGACGTCGTCAAAAAAGACGTCAGACTGGGAGCAAAACCTGTGTCTCGGCTTCAGTATGATTGGGATTGAGAGCACGGGTAGAATGAGCGGCTTCGTCGCTCTTGAAAAATTCAAGCTGCGCACAAGCATAGAGTGGCCCGACCGGGAGCGGGCTCTCAACGAGACGCCTCTGATTCAAGCGTCGGTTGGCTTCAACCAGTTCAGAGTGAAGGCCGCATTTGACTACCAGGCCTTTCTCGTTGCCGACATCACGTCTCTCGAGTTCCTCATGTACAATGTCCGGCGAAGCCGAGAGGGGAGCGGAGACAGACTGGTGGCTATCCTTGATGGTGAGGCGGTCCAGGCGTTTGGCACGGCGACGTCTGCTTCCCAGGGCGTCGCCATGTATCAAGCCTTCCAACGGCTGATGCAGGAACGCAAGGCGAACTTTGAGACGTCACTCAAGGAGATTGAACGGTACATGCAGCGAAGGTCTGTCGCGGCCCCTGCGGGCGTGATGCATCGGCTCAGCATTCCCAAGCCGACGCCCGGCGACGAAGGGGTCCTCAAATCAACCATCTCGCTCGACACAGACGTCGTGGTCACCCTCAAGGCTCTCAATCTGGGCGTCTTCCCCAACACCTTTTCGGACCATCAAGTGTTCAAGATGGAAGCGCTCAACGCTCAAGCCCGCTTTGCCGCCTCGGTCCAAGACGACGGCCGCATTCACAGCATCCTTGGCCTCACTCTTGGCCAGCTGCGCATAGGACTTGCCGGCGTCCGGGTAGGGGCCGGCCCGTCCAAGACGGTCAACGAGCTCTCGGTTGAAGACGTGGTGCAGAGCGCAACGGGCTCGCGCGGCGGCACCATCCTCAAGGTGCCCCAAGTTGAGGCCGTTATGCAGACGTGGCAGCGGCCCGAGTCGAAACGCATCGACTACATCTTCAAGAGCGCGTTTGAGGGCAAGGTCGAGGTCGGCTGGAACTACAGCCGCATCAGCTACATCCGCGGCATGTGGGCCAACCACGTCAAGACGCTTGCCCAGACCTGGGGCAGGGAGCTGCCCAATGTGACGGCCATTAGAGTGACCGGGGCTCTCCCACCCGAAATCGCTAGCAGCAGCACCACCGCCAACACCACCTCATCAGCAGCAGCAACAACAACAGCCGCGACAACCTCCTCCCTTGACGACGACGACAACAACGACAAGGGAAAGCAACGACAGCAACGACAACAACAACAACAAAAGGCTGGAGGACAGACGACGACGACAGCGAGCAACAAGATCACGGCCGAGGTGAAGGTGCCGCAGTCGAGGTACGAGTACGTGGCGCTCGAGCCGCCCGTCATCGAGACGCCGCAGCTGCGCGACATGGGCGAGGCGACGCCGCCGCTCGAATGGATCGGCCTGAACCGGGACCGGCTGCCGAACCTGACGCACCAGATTGTCATTGTGGCTCTGCTGGAGCTGGCCGGGGAGGTGGAGGATGCGTATGGGAGGATTTTGGGAAGTAGTTGATTCCTTTTCAGCCCTGTTTTTATGACTTTCTACTTTCCTTATTATGCGGTTGCATGGTCGGGTGGGTTCTGTTTAGAGTTGGTATATGCATAAGAAGGCGTGGGAGAGAGGGTTGTCTCGTTTTGGAATTGGTCTGCCGCGGTATAGATAAATGGGGAATGCGAAGAGGGCTATGGATCAAGTGAATTTTCACCGGTATCCACTTCGGTTTCTGTTTGCCTAGTCGTGAAATGTTTACCGCGTGTTCAAAGAAGCAGAGAGACCATCATGCTGAAGTACACCAGGAAATTTTGAAAACTTAGCCGAGGAGACGTGACCAGGGCTGGCTTTTGCAGAAAGCCTGATTGCTGCGGTAGCACTATGCGTGCATTCATATACTCCAAGTTGATTGCTCGAGCTCCTATCTATATCTAGTCTAGAAGGGGTGAAGGAAGAAGCAAATGAGGGCTAATTCAGGAAGCAACTTAAGGAAGAGCTGGATGTGAAGGGAGAGCGCTCAGAAGGCAATTCGCTTATCTGTCGGATGTCCAGCCACCACCATATTTACAGCAGCGTGCTCAGACGCTAGTCTCTAAAGTAACCCAAGGAGTTTTAACTCGTTGTATCTCGAGTCGTTTATTATTCACTTGTCTCCGCCCCCACAGCGGGATACCCTGAGCAGCTTGTTAGTAAGGGGTTATCTCCCAGGGCCAGGGGAAAACTTACACCACGAACACACTGCAATGATGCAGTACAAGCAAATAAGCAACATCCCCTCGAGCCAATGGCTTTTGCCGTCGGCAATGAGATAGTTCACCAGCAGCACGGCCACAAAGAGCACAGCGACCTGGAACGGATCAAAGCTCAGCGCCATCTCGTCCATGCCCATGCCCCACCCGATGATAACGAGCAGGGGGATGAGGAACAGGGCGACCTGCATGCTCGAACCGACAGCGACGCCGATCGCCAGGTCCATCTTGTCCTTGATGGCGACCGTGACGGCCGTGAAGTGCTCGGCGGCATTGCCGACAATGGGCAGGAGGATCAGGCCGACAAACTCCTCGGATACCGTGCCGCCGGCAGTGACGGCGCTGATGCCGTCGACCATGAACTCGGCGCACAACGCGACAATAACGGTGGAGATTGTCAGGGTGGCGATGGCGACGGCGAAGTGAAGCTGCGGCTCCTCACCGTCCTCTTCGTCGGCTTCGTCCTGGAGGCCCTTGCGCGGTGGCGTGGTCAGCATGCTGCGCAACTTCTCGTTGTCGGTCGTGCTCGAGGGGAGGCCATGGCCGCCGATGACGCCAGCGGGTGCCACGAAGCCCTGGGCAATGGCGCCTTCTTTGAGGTCCTGGCTGCGGAAGGGTTTGGCCTCGACCTTTCGGCTTTCTTGGGCGAAGACGGTGGAGTGAGTTTTGAGCTGGAAGAAGAGATAGCCACCGTAGACAATCAGGAGGATGACTGAGGTGCCGCGGGAGAGCTTGGCTACGTCGGATTGCGGCGTCTTGCTCGCAATGTCGAAGACGGTTGGGACGATGACGGCTGCTACGGCCAGGGCGAGAAGACTGGCGGCTGTTTGAGCCACGGTGGTGTTGAAGTATTGCTCCTGCCGGCGGAGCCCGCCGAAGAAGAAACACATGCCCAAAACGAGGAGCAGGTTGGAGACTGTCCAACAAATGTCAGTCGTTTCATGCCTATTGAAGGTGACTCGAGAGTGATTCGGGAGCAAAGAGTGCCGCTTTTGGGGCAAGGCGACTTCCATAACTCCCGAAATATCTCGAAACAGACAAAAGAGAGCGCGAGTTTGACTTACGGATACTGCCGATGAGAGAGGTTTGGACAATGACAACCTCCTTGTGCGCCAAGGCGATGATGGCGACGATCAGTTCGACGGCGTTGCTGGCTGAGTCAATATTGCCTCGTGAGGGAGGCTGGCAAAGACATACCCAAAAGTGGCATTCAACAGCCCACCCATCGTCTCGCCGGTCCGCAGGGCAATCTCCTCGGTTGCAAAGCCAAGCATGGCAGCCAAGGGTACAATGGCTATAAAGTTGACAACGAACACAACGACGCCGCTCACCGAGGGCACGTAGTTGAGGGCGATACCGGCCGGAGCGGCAAGCAGCAGGACGTTGATCCACGAGTTGAACAGGGTGCGCTCAATCTGGTTGCGGACTGTAAAGGGTTCCTTCGGGGTGAGGTGCTTGAAGAAGGTGCGCGACTTCTTGGGCTTCTCGGTGTTTTGGGATTGCTCGGCAGCAGCATCTGGTGGGTTTTCTCTGCCCCCCGAGGTTCTGCGGCGCAGGACGCCTTGGATGACGGTGGCTGGCTCTGTCTCGATGCCACGTGCCTGGGCGCCAACATCGGCATTGGAAGGCCGAAGCTCGGCCCTGGACTCTCCAGCTTCTGGCCGGTTGGCGGGAGGTTCCTGGCTCTGGCTCCAGGAAGACCTGGGGGGATGGGGCTCGGTGTTGGTTGGAGCGAGTGGCTGGCCTTCGAGTTGGTTGCCGGCGGGCCATGTCTGACTTTGAGGCAACGACTCGCTTCTCCTGCTGCGGCTGCGCGGGAAGATGCTGAACAAGGATTCGCGGCTGGCCTCTCTGAATGCTGCCATCCTGGTGTGGTATGTGTTGTCTGTTCTGGATTAGCGTTGGGAACAAGCAACTTGTAGTGGTACCAGTCAGGTAGCTGACCGCCCTTACATGACGACATTGTGAACAAGGTGCGGTAACTGGACTGCAGGTCAGCGGACCATAAATCCAATGCAAGCTTCAGAAGAATAGTTAAACTTTTGTGACCTACCGACAACTCCGTTGAATGATCTAAATCGGTCTTTGGCAATTGCCTGGCCCAGCGAGGACCAATTGTGATTGTGTCGCTGTTCGCTCCTGGGATGACGACCAGAGTTCCTGACAACGGGTAAGGTATCGCAGATGTTCAAAGTCCGCTGCGATGTGTGAACTTTCAAGAAGGACGGTTGGTGGTGCTGTATACAGTATGCACTCCAGGACCCGACAAATTCGGGCTTGCAGCTGGGGCGCACTGGCACTGGGCAGTGGATTTCCAATCCACAGTTCACAAATAACCAGATACCAAAGTACGGTAACTGATCTTTCAATGCATTGAAAAAAGGGGCAAACGCAAAGGCCGCAGTTTGAGAGTTGTGTTAAATTTGCGAAAATGCCTTCGCTGACGGATGAAACAGGGAGAGAGACCATCGGCTCTTCAACAGAGCCACTTTTCCACCCGTGCTCTGAGATTACGTACTTGTCTTGTTGGCCGTAGCGTTGATCTCGATTTTCCAAGCTCTTGCCCCCGCTGCTTTCCGTCACCATCATTTGTTGTCTTCTGAAACCAATGACGCCAAGCAGGGATGATGAATCAAGCCTTTGCCAAGTATGCTTGGGTTGCTTGACTGCTCCACAACCGGACTGCGCCAAGCCAGGGCGGCAATGCTTGGTTTAACCCGACAGCCTGATCATTAGCGTCATATGGCGCCCAGAAGCAGGAACCTGACACCAGTCTCTGACCCGAGGAGATGCACATAGTTTTTAGATGCCTCTGACAAGTGCCTTGTCTCGCCAGCGACATTTCAATAAGCTACACGTTAATTGGCATAAGGTGACATTTCCCAGTGGTATCGAGGTTCTGGACGCTACATGTCTGACGTTGTCTTCATACAACAACGATATGAAAGACGGGAGCCCTGGACACTTCCAAGATGAAAGCAGCCTCCTCCCTATCGATTTCCATCAGCCTTGACATCGGCGCCCACCCAAGCCGTCTCCTTCTTATCCTTTTCCTTCTCCTGTGCCCCACCCCTCAAACCTCCCCATATCCCCTCATACTGCACGCTCCCCCTCCTCAACAACTGACTCGCCGACATGAAGGCGGGGCTGGGACTCGCCGCCCTGGGATTAACCCCATGCCCGACCACTGACGTTCCCATCTCCCCGGTCCCGGCCGCCGCCGACGTAGCCGGAGCAGCAGCCGAAGCAGCCAGCACATTAGGCGGCAAGCCTAGAACGGGAATATTCGCCTCTGGCAGCGCAACGGCTTCACCAGCAGCAGAAGTAGCAGCAGAAAAGGCAGGCGTCATGGCCGCCCCGCCGGCGCTCGTTGTCGCCGGCGCAGCCGTCTTGAGCTCCCTGTAGAACGCCTCGAGCGCGTGCGCGTCCCGACAGAACGCCTCTAACTCGTCCTTGATCCACTCGGGCTCCTGCGCCGTCCACGTCGACCACGCTGCCGTTCCTCCCCCAGCCCCGCTAGAAGCAGCAGCACCTGGTGCTGTTGAGGGCGGGCCTGGTTTGAGTAATTGTTGGCCTTGGCCTGGCATGTTCGAGGTGCTGCTATTTGGCGCCGACACGGCGGCGGGGCGGACGACCGGGGAGAGCAGGGATGAGGTTGCGGTGGTTGGTTTTAAAGCCGGGGATGAGACGGGTGTTGAGCCGCGGACGCCGTAGGCCGCGTTGTAGGAGCCTGGCGTGACGACATGGACGGTGCCGCCGCCCGACAACGTGCTGCCAGCTAGTGGTGGCGGTGGTCCCTGCTGCTGCTGCTGCTCGCCGCGGTTTTCCTTTTGCATTTCCCGCTCCCGTGCCGCCGCAGCACGGCTGCTGTACTGGCGGTTGGCCAGGATTAGAAGGTCGCCGTCATCGGTGATTTCGGCGAGGATCGAGCCTGACCGGTGAATGTACTGCATGTACTTGAAATCGGGCTTGCCCCACGAGTAAGACACGTCCACATTACCGGGAAAGTTGGACGCGGCCTCCATGTCAAGGACAAAGTCGAATTTGCGGAGGATCGCCTTCTGGTAGAAATGACGCCCCGGCTGTGCCTGTGGCGCGAATGAGGTTGGGTCGTAGTAGGTGAGAGGTGACTGATCTGGAGGCGGGGCGGCCAGCTTGATCACGTACGGCCGCCGAAATGGGTTGATTTCGCTGATGGCGCACGCCTCGGCAATAGGCACCTCGACAAGCCGAAGCCCGTATTGAGCTGCCTCGCGCCCCCAGTTCTCGATGGCGTCTTCCACTAGCTTCGCCGTCACGTTCATCCAGTCGACGCGGATGTGATAACAGTTGTCTGGATTATGCAGCCTGTCGTAATGCAGTTCCACGATCTCAGGGCGATACGACCGCCTCCTGTGGTCCACATCGTACTTGATGACCCTGCTGAGCATCACTTTCGGCTTCTTCCCTCCGGTTGGTGCATGTGGCGCCGTTGGCGTTGTCGAGCCCGACGTTGACGAGCTCTCTTCGTTGATCGACATTGGCCGGGGAAAGGTTGAACGTCCCTCTCGCGGAGCCTGCTCCCCCATCGGCGTTGAAGGCACCGACCCCTGACCGCGTTTGCTGTTAAACCAGCCGGGTGGGTGCGGCTTCGCATACTCGCTGCTAATCTGGTAAAAGTACTGTCCGTCTCGGAACGGGTGTCGTTTCTCGACATGGACAAACAAGCCGTCCCGCTTCCCATCTTTGTCCTTCTCGTCGGGACACATGAGCCGGTTGCCCAGAGCCTCGGCCTCTTCGCGGTCTTCCAGGTCATCAAAATTGTCCAGCAGCCAGCTCGTCATATCCGAGCCGATGAAGCAGTTGTAATGCAGCCGGAAGTGCCATCGGCGGTTCTGCATTCGCACGCCTCCACTCTCCACCGGCTGCTGGATAGCTTCGGCGAGCGCCGCCAGATTGATGTTTTTTTTGGAGAACGGCTCCCGGCTCCTCACGAGCTGTCCTCTGCGGTCGACTCCCTCCAAGAGAGGCAGGGTCTCGAGCTCGGCGGCAATGACCACCGAGGCGTCCTCCGTTTTGTAGACGATGTCTAGCGGGTTCACGTCTTTCTTCCTGCGAGGTCCTGAGCCCTGCAGCCGCCCTTCGTTCGGAGGAATATAGCGATGTCTCTGCCACGCTTGGGCTAGTTTCCTGATGCCCTCGATGCGAATCTCTTCTTCATTGTCACCGTTCTCAGTCCCCGGAACAGAGGAGCGCCGGCCCGTCATGGGAATCAAGACAAACCTGGCACGCCAGAACCGGAGATGCTCTGTCAGCTCGTCGTTGTGTCCTGCGACATATGCATCAATGTAATTCCAGTTCCTCTCATCTTTCCGCGGGACGGGATCAAACTCGCTCGTCCTGTACCCGACATCCAGCAGCGTCCGGATCGCCGGCTTGTACAATGTCGGCTCGCTGAAGGATTCTGGCATCGAGTCCGTCGGCTTTCGAACGAAGATATTAACTTCCACCTCGCTACCGTTGACGCATGAAAGCTGGTGTATCGTGTTGCCGACCGACATGAATATACTCGTCCCGTCCTCCATTAAGTGGTCTCTCGAGAAAATGTCGGCAACTTTGACCTGTTTCTGGCCGAGAGCCTTTGCGACAGCCGGGCCAACGACAATCTGGAACCCCTGTGAGAACCGTAGACTAACCAGCTCCCGCAGCAATTCGTCGCGGGACCTCGGTTCCTCCAACAGCTCCTCGTCAAGATTCTGAGACACATTGTAAGGCTGGCGCTCGTACTCGGCTTCAAACTGCGCTTTGGACGGGAAGTACTCGGACGTCAACGGCACGGCGGCCGGCGAACACAGGCTCTTCCACTTCATAACCCTCATTTCCTGGGGCCTAGGAAAAACGTGTTGCCAACGGCTGTACAGCATGGCCATGTCAACATCATTGGGGTCCGGGTTCGAAGGGTTGAGCAAAGTCAACCATGGCGAGAGAGCCGTCTTCGGTGACAAAGTAGACGGCAGTTCCGGTATGGCTCCCGCGAGCAGCTTGGAGTTGTAAAGCTTCTTCTCGTCCTCTGCTCGGATGGCGTTCGAATACCGAAAGTCACGGTCCTGCCCAACAGGCTCTGGGCGGAGCGTGGCTGCGAGGGTCGAGCCAGACAGCATGCTGGCGGCAGACTCGCTTGCTAGGTGATTGTTCCTTATGACAATGGGCCGGGTCGGCGTTTCGGGAGGAAACTGCGGCCCTGGTGCGAATGAAAACGGGGATGCAACTGGTTGCGAGAGGGTTGGAGTGGGAGTTCCTGACGCCAACCTATGAGACGAAGATGGTCGCTGAGCTCTCTTCGCCGGTGTCGCACGCAGGTCTTGTGAACTGCGGGACGGCGTCACAGTCTTAGAAGCGCCCACACTTTCCATGCTCACCTCAGCAGTAGCCGCCTTTGGAGCTGCAATACCGAAGCCCCGATTACCCAGGCTAATGTGGCGCATGAGCTTGGGCGTTTTCATGATCGACGACGACGTCTTGGCTTCCGGCTTCCTGGGCTCGAAGCTTGTACTCCTGCGAGGGCCTGACGGAACCTCGATTCTCTCCGAGTTTGGTCGATGAATCGGAGGAAAGTCCGCTAGGGGTTGTTGGATGGCTGTTGAGGGCCTCCGCTCTGAAAATGATGTCCCGAGAAGGTTAGTATCTTCCAAGATCTGCCGCCTAGGGGTCTCATCATGTTCACGGCCATGCCTCGGATAACTGGCACTCCGACGGGAGGGCAGACGCGCCTTGCAGTCGTCGTACTCTTGCAACTGCTTCCACAGGGATCGCTCTCCAAGTTTATTGTGTCTGTCCGGAGCAAACTTCTGAAAGCCAAAGACGTGGTCAAACAGGGTCTCTGGCACCCGCACATTTCGAACAAGGACATTGCCGTCGAGGTCAAAGTGTGGTTTGGAAATATGGCTTGCGAGGGCTGCCTTGGTGGGAAAGCAAGGGTCCATATGTAGTGGCTTGGTCTCGATCTCGTTCGTCTCCATGACGCTCCGCATCTGCAGGTCATACATGCGGCAACGGATGGGGAACTCGTCGCCAGACAGGGGTTGTGCGACATCTGAAACAGATAATGCAATCCCTTGATAAGACAATTCTTCTTCTGAGGCACCGGTCCAGTACGAGATATGAAGCCACTGCGGTATAGCGGACACCCACTGATCCTGGGAGGGGCCAGGGCCGGAAGCATCGGCATGACGGCTGTTGTCGGTCCTTTTGCTCGGCGAGTAAGAACCTGCAAGGCTGCTGTAGCTCCCAATCTGCAGAGCGTGCTGCTTTGGTGTGCTCCCCTGGCTGAAGTCTACCTTGTTTTTGCGCCGCGCAGGACCGGATGGATGCGGGTTGCGGTACCGAAAAAGTGGCACAGAATGAAGTGGCACCTTTGGAATGCAGATCAGGTCAATGCCGATGCCGTTGCCCACAAGCGCCTCGGTCGTGCGGCGCAGGGCGTCGTACTCGACTTCAAACACGCCAGCGCTGGGACTGATGATTGCGACAGAGACGCCAGTCCTAGTCAAATCCCGATCGATGTAATCATGAGCGTACAAGGACGAGGCCATGTTGATGGCTTCAAGAACGTTTCCGTGAATGGCTCGCGAGGGCTCAGCCTTTATCCTGTTCAGCAGCACCTCTTGATCGCCAGCATCATCGGAAGCGGCGGACGATGCCATGGCTTGCTGGTGATATGTGCTAATGTCTTTGCGGAAATAGTTAAACTCGCGCTTGAGCTGGTGCAGTATCTTGGTCCATTCTCCGCTGCCCATCTCGCTGACAACGACGCGGTAGAAGTCCTTGTAGGGACGGCGGTCTTCTGAGGTCTGAACGCCACTGTAGTAGTCATGGTGGACCGGAGCGCATGCCAACTCGGTGGAAATGCCGGTGTCATACTCGACGCGAGCGAATAAGACGATGGTCACAAGGTGCTTCACCTTCAAGGCGGCCCACTTCTTGAACAGGGCGGGGAGGAAGCCGTTGACAACCTTGTTGAATGTGATCTCGCCGGAGCCATCAGGGTCAAAGTCCCACATCTCACGGGCCATTTGGATGAAGAGCACGTAGCGAGCAGACTCGCTGCGGAAGATGGGCTTGGTGTCGCGGCCAAAGAAAGCGGACTGCACCTTGCGGCCGTCGACATAAACGGTGGTCACCTGGGCCTTGACGGTGCCTAGGAACAAGACCATCTGACCCTTGTAGACGGTCCTCTCGGCCAGCTCTCCGACGGCCATGCGCCACATGTCAGCTCTCGAGAGGTACTGGTCTTTGAAGCAAAGCTCGACATGGGACGCCTCTACGGCCGGGTTACTGGCGTCAATCTGCACCGCTTATTAGCATGACGCATGGGAGATGGGGGGGCGGGCCGGGGCGTACCGGAGTCAGAGTGACTTGGGTGCCTTTTTTCATGCCAAATGCGTCAGCAATGTGCTTTGCGACGTACACCTCGACGGAGGAGTAACGCGTCCTCAGTTCCTTGGGCATGCCCTTGGCGACGCAGATGTAGCGGCGTTCGGGGCAGGCTGCGGAACATCCATCCTTGCGGTCCTGCTTATGGTGCGAATTGTGCGTCGCTTTTTCCGAGTCGGCCTTCAAGACGTCGATAGCCACGAGGCTGCCCGGTTTGATGTCGCGGCCGATCAGGTCGAGGTTGAGAAGCACCTCGTCACGGGCAAACGACTCGTTGACGGTGACGGTCCATCTTCGCTCGGCGAGCAGGCGGGACGAGGCGCCATCGCGAATGGTGGAGTTGCTCGATGCAGTACCGGCGGGCGAATTCGAGTAGGGATGATGCTCGAGGGCGTGGTCATGGCTCGACTTGCTGGACTGGCGGAGATGGAAGGGCCAATTTGTTGGCCCCCTTGCTGACCCCGACGCAGCAGCCGATGAGGCATTGCGCGCAGACATTGAAATCGGTCATTAAGCCAAGTTCCATCGAACGGTCGAGCAATGGCTTTGAGGGGTCATAATGTGCGCGCTGCCAGAATTGGATGACAGAGGAAGTTCTGTTCTTGATGCTCATACTAGTATGGCTTTCGAAGAAAACTAGCTTAGGTCTGTTGAACTGAGTGGGTTCCTTGGCACCAAGATTCACGGACTGAGCACTGATGTTCAATGCGAGACTCTCTGTCAGCACAGATCCATCACAATGACACAGTTCCTGACATAGCGTCATATCATGGCACAATGTCTCTATATAAGGGGGTAATTCCCCTGGGAGGATTAGAGAGGACAATTTTCTGTTCCAAAACAAGAAAGGCACATTCTGAGGCTCCCTAACCCACTATCTTGATCCTTCATTTTGTGTGGTCACTCTGGAATCGTGACTCCAATTCAAGCTTCGTTTCATACCTCAATCTGTTCAATACCATTTGGTTGATCTAAGCTTACTTGAGCATGTAACTGTTGGCTGCCCAACAAGGTCTTCATGCGCGAGGCCTAATCGTCGCCCACTAGTTGTTCTATTCTCTAATAAGTATGTTGGGTAGAGTTTAGTTCTTTTACTCTCATTAGTTTACTTAGAGTGCATCTATACTTTGAATTAGCCCTTTCTTTATTACTAATCTTAACCAGGCTTAGTTTATCTGTCTTTATTAAGGCTATTAATTTATCAATTTCAATTAAAATAATAATTATTCTTCTTCTTCTTACACCGCTATGCCCTAGGGCTCGTCGGACTTTCTACTACTTATTACAAGGAGAACCATGCCTGTAAGGCTGGACTAAAAACCTTTGTCTACTCTATACTGGTCTGATATCCTGAATACATCTACTGTAGCGAAACGAAAGGCACATATATTTAACTAGGCTATCGAACTAGCCTAGTTCTAGCTATGCAGCTAGCCTATACTCTAGGAGCTTCCTAAAACATAGTAGCTACCTGATCACCTTCTTGGCAAGACTTTCCTCTTTGTTTCCCTACCTGTCGAGAACTCTATATAGATCTCTCTACGAGTATATCTCTATAGCCAGCTAGGTCCTTAGCTTTGGTAGTTAGCGCTACTATATAGCTAATTGTTCTACTATTTTCCTACCTAGCCGCATTCGCAGTAGGGAGTAGGTATTCGAGGCACTCTAATTCGGAAAAGGAAGTCTTTAAGGTCTATATGTCACGGCGATTGCGCCGCGCCTGTCAGGACCCATAGGTGAGGCTCGGCGTATAGGAAGCACGGGCCTCTATGAGTTGAAGATCCTGCACCCCGCTGCCGCGAGTTCTATTCGTAGCTCTTTAAGCTACGTCTTGACAATTAAGCCCGCCTATACCTGACGGAATAGAGCCTAGACTATAGCTCAGCCCAAATACAATTGTCATTGTATTATCCGCCTATCCCGCCGTGACATTACGTAGCTCTCACTTATTAGCCGATCATCTCTAACATGATAGCTACCTACCCGCAACTTTTTACGAACTCCAATAACGCGGCAGATTTAGCCGCGTACGTCAGGAAATATCTGGAGAGCTAAATACTATACCTAAGGAATATAGTCGGATACCTTGTAACGGTCCCAGGAGTATATTGCAACTAGCTGGTGACGACTCTACGAGTTTGTCTCGAATAGAAAGAGAAGAAGAAAAAGAGTGAAAGACTATGCAAGATATCTGCCGTCTTATACCTCCACATCCTTGGCCTGTGCGCTGATATCGAACAAGATAGAAGTCCACCGAATCTTGAGTGTTGGCCGAGAGTTTGCCGAGGCCTTCACGGGCCCAGCCCGTTACCTACCTAGCCCCTTTAGAAAAGGAAAACGCTACCCTCTGTACTATCGCCTACGATCACGACGCTACCGTCTTATCCCTCTAAACTAAAATCACGAAACGTAACACGATTATCAGCTACTTGATGGAGCAGCTGAATAAATGAAACCGAGAAATAATCCAGTGAATTATAGAGCTCGAGGTTGAAAAAGCCTAATGCCTCGCCGCTGCTACGCCCACCAAATATACCTTGCCGACCGAACCTACGTCTATCGCGAAACCCTCTGCCAAGCTGTTCGCAGGTACTGCTCTAGGAACTCCTACGCCTACTCCTTCCTTATATTCCAGATCTACCCTTATTAGTAAACGACTCTCAGACCTATATAAATTTGATAGTTCTTATATAAACCTCCGACGATTTATATAGCAGATCTATAGTAAGATGATCGCTAATGCCGACCAATTTCCAACTGCCTCTGCCTATCTAATATACATTACTGGCTGACTAACTAGGAAGGCGTGCTAGCTAATACTATTTAAAATCGCCTATAGACTCTCCTAGTTCCCTGACTACCCTAATATACTTACCTATCTAGAAGCTACCTTTAGCAACCCCAACTGTAAATAGAATATATATTATCATTATTCCTATACCGCTATGCCATAGGGCGTGCCGAACCTTTAGCTATTACTATACAGGAAAACTGCACCCTTACAGGTCAGATGAAAACCCCGTATCGGCAATAAGGAAATGGTTAGTGAGTGAGCCTGCGGGTACATAGGGAGAAGGCCTCCTGGCCTTCACCTTACTATATGTCACGGCGATTGCGCCGTGCCTGCTAGGACCCACGGGTGGAACCCGGCATGTGGAAAGCACGGGCCCCTGTGGGTTAAATATTCTGCACCTCGCTGCCGCGAGATCTGTTCGTAGCTCCTCGAGCTACGTCTTGACAATCAAGCCTGCCCGTACCTGACGGAATAGAGCTTAGACTGTAGTTTAGCCCGAATACAATTGTCATTGGATTGTCCGCCTGTCCCGCCGTGACACTATATTCCGAACGAGATTCGGCCTCTATAGATCATTGGTTATACTATTCAAGATGACTAGAGGCCCTGCTTTATTCCAACAGTTTATTAACGATATGCTACAAGAGTATCTAGATATCTTCTGCATTATATACCTCGATAATATCATAATCTACAGTTATACTAGAGAGGAGCACTTGAGTTATATCCGCAAGGTCCTAACGGCTCTAAGAAGAGCTGGCCTATATACTAAGATCTAGAAGTACAAGTTCTTCAAAGGAGAAACGACCTTCCTATAAGTTATTATCGGTTATTATAGCATCTAAATAGACCCTAAGAAGGTATAGACAATCAGAGACTGGCAGACGCTAACCTGCCTGACCGATATCTAGGCGTTCATTAGATTTAGGAACTTCTACCGGCATTTTATACGCGATTTCTCTAAGATTATTACGCCAATAGTTAATAGTTAACCTAGTCTAGAGGACGCGAAGTTCTAGTAGGTGTCACGGGTGGGACAGACTAATAGTCCGATGGCAGTTGTATTTGAGCTAAGCTATAGTCTGGGCTCTATTCTGTCAGGTACGGTCAGGCTTGATTATCAAGACGTAGCTCAAGGAGCTACGAATAGAACTCGTGGCAGCGAGGTGCAGGATCTTCAACCCACAGGGGCCCGCGCTTCCCACATGCCGGGCCCCACCCGTGGGTCCTGGCAGGCGCGGTGCAGTCGCTGTGACACCTCTTGTTGGATTTGGCAGGTGGTCAGAGAGGGCAGTTCAAGGGTGACCAATGGCTTGGCACCAGGATTCTCAGGATCAGGAACAGGCAGGGAACTTCTGGAAGAACACAGACAGGTACACGATCATCAATTGAGTGGTTGCCCATCCTTTTGGTACCCAACTACTACGGTGCGGCACATTCGTGGCTGTTGGCTTTCCAACACCTCTTTCTGGACCTCGAATTGCGGTTGATCGAAGGCTTGGTCGAAAGTAGTATTAAGGATATCGCTAAGATTAGCTGATGGGTTTAGGAAGAACCTCGCTGCAAAAGCCTCGGCCTTCTAGCCGTCGGTCGTAAGATCTGATTTGCCTAGGCCTCTATATAGTGGTAGCAGTTTCGATAGCTCAGTATATAGTGTCACGGCGGGACAGGCGCACAATCCAATGACAATTGTATTCGGGCTAAACTACAGTCTAAGCTCTATTCCGTCAGGTACGGGCAGGCTTGATTGTCAAGACGTAGCTCGAGGAGCTACGAACAGATCTCGCGGCAACGAGGTGCAGAATATTTAACCCACAGGGGCCCGTGCTTTCCACATGCCGGGTTCCACCCGTGGGTCCTAGCAGGCACGGCGCAATCGCCGTGACATATAGGAAGCTCTTTGTGCGAGCCCATCTTTCTAGTTTCTATAGAAAGCTAGAATTTACCGTAGCCTTCTATAAAGTAGACCTCCAAGCCCTTGGCTGGGCTAGCCGTATAATCGCCGGCTGTATATAGAGGCTCTAGTTGATCTTTCATTTGAGAAAGACCGTAATAGTAATAGATACTGCAATATAAAGTAAAATAATTTAACCGCCTTCTATTATAATTTTATATAACTATAATAGCATTAGTCTCATTAGTCTACAGGCTATATCAGCTATCTTTAAGATAATTCAGGTTGCTAATACTTCCTGCCACTTTGATGCGGGATGCACCAGGGGGAAGGCCAAGTATGGGTATATCTGTATTGCTGGAAGAAGGATGGAGATTCACAAGTCGGTGTCGCGCATCCTGCATGCAAGATAAACTGGCATGGCGGGGCTACGGGCGCACAGACCTTTGCAGCGGGGCTACTCTACCATGATGCCTTCCGGTATCACACTTTCAGGATAGAAGAGGCATCAACTTCTCACTTTTATATCCTGCATCAGTTACCCCTAAACCCCTGAAGAGCAACAAAGCACAAATCAGCACTACAATCTCGAACCATATCTATTCTAATTACTGGCACTTAGCTTTGCCGTCATTCTCAGTCATGTACATTTCAGCCCTTGATCCGTGTACACAAACACGCCGTCACACAGGCCTCACTGCACTCGCCATCCATTTAGCTCGGTGAAACCCTCCGTTTGTGTCCCCTTGCTGCACTAGCGTTGCTCCGAGGTTTGGTGACATGTTCGAAGAACGATTGGTACCGGACCTGCTGACTGCCGTGTCATTATTGAGGCAATGTTAAGCAGCCTGAAGCATCCCTTCAACCATCTCACGACGCTGAGTCTACAGGTTTCCCCCTTGTTGCCATTCCCAACTCCAGTGACCTGGCATAAGATAAGGTATCAATCATGTCTTAGGCCTCCACATATGGCTGTACTCTCCTCCGCGTCACCTAACTTCCCGGCCTCTTCCGGGCCCAAAGACCTGTGCATTCGGTGGCCCCAATCCTGGTGCCTCCCGTATTCAATCACTGCCCCGGTCCGCTGAGAGCAGACGACATTCTCCTTTGCGGGGGGTCTTCGATGCGGCCTATTGTTCTCTGTTCCTCCCCGGTACACTAATCCTTCAAGATTCTGTGCCCACTGGCGAGAAAAGCCACCGATTCCAGCCCAGTTGTCAGCAAGCCTCGAGGCCACTTCGACTGTGTACTGGGAAGCCCAACGCCATAGTACAACCCCTCTGGTTTTCTCGTCACTCCTTCTCACTCCCGCTCGGATATCGCTGTTTTGGAACACAATATCCTTCTCGAGTGGTTGGGTTGCGGCGAACCATCGACGCGCAAAGGCTGCATCATGACCTCCAAATTCAGCGACAAGCGGAGGGTTTCGGTGGCCGTGGCCATCTCTGTCGCCCTATTCTTCGGCGAGATCGCAGGTTAGTGGCGGAATAGAACCTAGAGACCGAAATATGATCGCTGACTTGACCGCTTACCAGCGGCCTACAAGACGGGCAGCCTTGCTCTCATGGCCGATGCCTTTCATATCGTGAGCAGAGCCACACTCTATGCTACCAAATCAATACTGACATGGTATTTGGCAAAGCTGAACGATGTTCTCTCTTATGGCGTGACGCTGGCTGCCATCCTTGTATGTCTTCTTACTTTTCCTACCGGCGTTGCACAGACATACACTGACCGTCCTTCTAGATCACGAAGAAGCCCAAGTACCGCCAGGATCTCTCCTTTGGCTGGCAGCGGGCTCGGGTGCTCGGAGCCTTCTTCAACGGATCTCTGCTGCTCGCCATAGCGTTCAGCATTCTTCTCCAGTCTACCGAGCGCTTCATCTCGCTGAAAAGAATTGAAGACCCGATGCTTGTCCTTATCATGGGCGGCGTTGGCCTCGGCTTGAATATCATCACAGCTGCATTCCTACATGGTCAGCACGTCCGGTAACCCGAGTGCATCTGAGACACGGGCTGACCTAGCTGCTGTATTTAGAACATCACGGTACACATCACCATAACCTCAACCAACAACAGCAACGGCAACGGCGACAACAACAGCACCAACTTCATTTCCAAGGTGACCCCGATTCCGAAGTCTCGTTTGGAACTGCGCTCTCTTCCCTCATCTGCCTGCACCATGACCACAGCCAGGCGGAATGCCCCTTCGACCCTGACTCCCACGCTGGCCACCGGCATACCGGCCACTCCATCCAGGCTCCCGGCAGGGACCTTGGTATGTTGGGCGCTGTTCTGCACGTCTTCTCGGACTGCCTAAGTAACGTGGGCGTTATCATCGCCGCGCTCATCGTGTGGCTCACATCTTGGTCGGCCAGATACTACGCCGACCCGGCCGCCAGCATAGCCATCTCGGCCATGATTGTATGGTCCGCGATCCCCCTAGTCAAGCGCAGCGGGGCCATCCTCCTGCAAAGCGCGCCGCCGGGGGTCAACCTCGACGATATCAAGCACGACATCAAAAAGGTATATAAACCGACTCCCTCACCATACCCCACAGCCCTCCCAATCATCATCCATCTTAAGAAATTAAAAAATAAAAAGAAACCCAAATATACCGACGCCCTTCGCTAACCCACCACTCTCGGCGGTAACATAACACAGATCCCCGGCATAATCTCAGTGCACGAGCTCCACGTCTGGCGTCTCGACCAGGCCAAGGCCGTCGCGTCGGCGCATATTGTCGTTTCGGACCCGGACGTCGCCAGCTTCATGGCCAAGGCAAAGACCATCAGGGAGTGTCTACACGCCTACGGTATCCACTCGGGGACGCTGCAGCCGGAGCTCTCGGCGACCGTTGCCGTCGCCAACTGCCCCGCAAGCAGTACGATTGCTGAGACCGGTAATACGAGTGCTGTCACCGACGGCGCCGCCGCTGCTCCGGAGGTTTTTGGCGGTGGCGCCCCCCAAGGCTGCCAGCTTGTCTGCGGCAATGGCGTGTGCGGCCATCTCATGTGCTGCGGTGGACCGGTTCAAGTTTGAGGGAGGTTTTTTATGCGGTGACTTTCTAAGGGTATCGGATGAGCAGGCTTGGGACTGGCTCAAGTTCATGGGGGATCGCCTTATGACTAAGATCTCGATCCGGCCGCGGTTAACAGGCACAAGTCCATGCCGCATCTTTGGCCTCAACAAAAATTGCACATTTGATAGAGTGCTAGTTTTTCAGAATCGCAGTCTGAGCGCCTTCTTCCCTCCCGTGTCTCGTCATGCACTTGACAGAGAGGAAAAGCAGTGCATACACGGCTGAGAAATGGGGGGTCAATAGATGCTCAATAGCGTTCCGTTACTCAACAGTGACCGTGACCCCCTGCCCCAAGGTTAGCGCCCTCGACGATAATGATCTGACGCTCTGTGTCGAAGAGGAGGATACAGAACCTTGTAGACATTGTACCTTAGTTCATCACCAAGCTGTGAGCAAGGCGAATCCGATGAGTTTCCTAGTAGGGCTGAAGAACATAATAATAGCCCAAATCCAGTGTACAGCTTGGCCGTCTTAATTAGCCGATGTCCAGCGAAGCATATCACTTGTGCTCGAACCGGATGAACCCCCAAGAGACAAGAGAGCATGTGTGTGCAAGTCGTCCTGAAACATCTCTGATCCTGGACGAGGTTTCTGGGACCCTCAGGACGTGGCTCATCACTTCTCCTGTCGATCCACGCGCCTTCCCCAGAACCACCGCTCGACTACGTCGCCGGCATCCAGGGCATGCAATTGCAGGGAGATCTGCACCTCCCGTCCTGGTAGGCACGGGTTGAATTGCGAATTGATGACTCTTGATTGATGACGCAAGGAACGTGTCTCGGCTGTGCAACCCTGAAAGTGGAATGCACGCAGTCCTATAGCGGCCCCCTCTGGCAGCTCTCTTCCCCTTTTTTCGACATTCAGTTCCAACTCCGTGCGCAACGCTCCTGTTCCATGCCCTTCTGACTAGGTGATGATGGACGAACAGCAATTGCGCTCTGACTGACTGCAAGCTGTAATGTAATGCACGTGTCAAAAATTACCGCCAATTCAATCCTGCGACATTGGATATGTCATGCATATGGTCTCGATACACGTTTCGAGAACTCAAGGCGAACAGAGAGCGGTCCTCCCGGGGATTAAGGCAGACGGAAGGTTATCCAAGGGCTGCCGCGCGCAGGAGAGACTACGCCCGGCTCCAGCTAAGAGGGTGCCCACTCTGTTCCAGGCTGGGGATGGTGAGGTTCGGGCATTGCTTGGGAGATCATGCTCACGTGTCGTCTCGCTTCCCTCTCGCTTGCCCACGGCAGCCCGGATCCGTGGTCTCGGACCCAGGAGACAGGGGATAACGTGGGGGCGGGGCCATTGTTGACAATCGTAGCGCCTCGTGAATGTGCGGTCGAACCTTTGCTGCGTGTTGAAAAACTCGTAATTGGCACCGATACCTGAGCTGCTCTCTTATCTCGTCCGGTACGATACAAGTACAAATGCGGCGGTCTCCTGTCTGCGTCGTGTCAGCTCCGTTGGCTGGACGTCTGGGAGCGAGCGGCCCCGTTTTCTGGAGAGGGAAACAGAGCAGAACCAGCCCATCATCTAGAACCGCCATGGGTAGAACACCATAAGCTCGGTTTCCCCGTTTGACCGCGTCAGCCCCTCGCTTGGACTATGTACAATACCTGGCTGTGTGGCATCCGGACCTGCAGAACACAGGGGGGCCAAGCGCTAGGCCGTTGATACTCTCGCCTGCAACCCAACTATGTGTGTCAAAACGTCAGCGAGATGCTTGGTGCCCCTCATGGACGCAGGTTGGTTGCCTGGAGTTTTGCGCTGCAAAGCAGTTGTAGGTGGCCAGGTTGCTGCAAGACTTGAGGTCTTTAGCAACGTGCGGGGGGTCCGACTCGTGGGGCACGGCTCGGCCGAGTCGCCTGGCGGGCTCAATTGGCTGATGGACTGCGAACGACAGATATGGAGGTTGTCATGTTTCCCATTCCGCGCCGTGACAAGCGTAGGTTACACTGACAGTGGGCCGCGCTGCAGGTTGGCTCAGCAATGATCAGTCAATCGCAAGCACGCATTTCTGGCGGTAAGGCTGTCCGTCTCAACGCATGGAGCTGCACACAGAAGACGGGAAGACGGCCGAAGAGAGTGCTGTCGATCCTAGAATCTCCGCAAGACGGATGTATGAAGAACCAAGATAAGGAACGTTGAGGTCCTTGGGTGAGATGGGAGAGCAGCCCCCCAACCGGCAATCTCGATGCAGGAGCAGAAGTGAACAACGCCATTGCATACACTGCATCCTAAATAACGTCCTGCACATTTCTATTATTGTTAGATGAACGGCTCGGAAGGGCAACCGACAACGGCCGGGCCGCTGTAACGTCAGTAACAACCGTGACCCGTGTTACGGCAGTGTTAGTTGGCTTCTTTTGAGTGAAGCCGACGGGTTGAGCTGGGGTCGTAAACAAGGTTTCCATCTGATGACATGTGAAGACTTACTCCTCTGCTGTTTTCACATTGCCGACCTGATCCGGATGTATCTTCTTCCACCTCCTCTTACACTGCGCAGGGATGCGTGGACCTTGTCTCCATCCATCTTGCTGCACTCTAGTGCCGCAGTCAACCCCAAGCTTGAAAACTTTCCACGCTGTCTGATCAGGCGGGACGATAATGAAACTTGGGGAAAAGGAACGGAGGGAGGACACTTACGTTATCAGGCGACTTGCCGTTGCCCTGCGCATGACGAATGATGGCGGGAGTTTGAAGGGAAAGAGATGGGGATTTTGGGGGATTTGGTACGGAGCAGTCCAAGTCCGGTCCAGTACCTAAGGTACAGTAGTCGGGTCTCGCCGAGGAGTGGAGTCGGTTGCAGCCCTGCCTATTTGCCCAACTGGCGTTACAAATTGGCAGCAAGCAAGCAACCGAACCGTGGCCCCGCTCTTGTGCAGCTTGGTCGAGCCGCTTCGAATTGGCCCAGCGAATCCAGCCCGTTGCAATAGCTTTCCGTTGCTTCTTGGGCCTGTAACTTGGCCACCCACATGCCGCCTGCCTGCCGCAGCTAGTTACCCCGAGCTTGGATGCGCGCAACGCGGGACCTCAATCGCCGCAATCGTCGTCACCGCCATTTGGACCCGGGGTGCCCCGCAGACTGGAAAGAGGGTGCTACCAAACAATTGACATGCTCGATGCTTTCCGTGGCTTCGAAACCACATGCTAGACGCTGCAGCCGCGCCCGGCGAACAAATCTCCTGCTCCACTCCTATTTACCGTATCGATACCTTCTCGGTGCTCGTCTTCTCCCCTCCTCTCTCTGCACTTCCCAGGAAGCCCCCCAGTCGTTGCGGCCAAGACCCGTCCATCTCGGTATGTTTCTCCACATGCTGATCAAAACCACGCATGCACAACTGTGGGCGCTGTTCTCGTCTTGCTAACCGCCCGAAAGAGTTGCGTAAGAGGTTGCTTGTCATGACCTCCACGTCTAGGCCGGTAGTTCTCCTTGATCCATCCATCCAAGCCCAGCCCGGGCACTCGTCACTCTCTCAGTCAGCTCCACCAGCGACGGGGAACGCATCCTTTTGCTTTTGTTGACACGGAAACTGGTAGCGTACATGTACCGGTATGCTCACGCGACCCTTCGACAGAGCCGTTCCTCAACTATCGCGGTCCTTACAACGGCTTGCTCTGCCACATCTCGAGTCTGGCGACTTTGGACACCTCACTTCATGGCGCATCCGCCAACTCCACCGCCCACGATGCTAGTCCGGCGCATGGCCCCCTTTTGATCTGCTGAAACGACTGTCGCCCACGATTCCTCGAGACTCACGTTTTGATATTTTTTTCTGCTAGCTCGCCCAACGCCTTGGGATGCTTGGGAAGCTCTTCAACCTCGGCGCTGGCTCCGGGACGGGGCCGCTGCTCTCAGCTCAGCCCCCGCCAGCCAGACCCTTTCCTCTGGAGTCGGTCCAAGAAGACATTCACACGCGGCACCTGCTCTTTCCGGACCCCCAGGACCTGTATGAGCACCGCGTTAACCAGCTGTACCCGCTATCCAGCGGCGCCACCACTCCTACCGGATCTTCGACGAACGCCTTTGATTACAATGCCGACATCGAGCTCGACGTGCGCGATGTCCGCATCATTATCATGCAGGACGCCCTGAGCTCTGTCGCGGCCTCCCTCCTCTATGACAGTCAGCCTGCGCCTCCCGTCCCGACCGCATCCATGGACCGGCCCTCTGCGACTGCCGGGTCTTATTCCGTCCAGGAGCCCCGCCGGACCCCGGCCTCCCCGCGGAAACCCAGCGTCAGCTACTCGCAGCGCCCCGCTGTCATCCAACCCGGTAGCCCCAAGATCCGCCAAGGCGCATTCGACAGGAGGCCCTCAGTCCACAGTCGCGGCCAGGGTCATGTCGAGAGCGAATCCCAGCGCGCCTGGCGCGAGTACCGCGAGGAGCTGGCCATCTTTTCCAGCTGCATATTTGGCAATTCGGAGCTTATGGCATACAAAGGCACCTCGACCAAGGTTCACGTCGTGCCTTCAGACGCACGACCGGCCGAGTCCCCCTCCGTTTTTGGCGACGGCCGGGGATCCTTGGGCAGGTCTACCATGAGGGCAAGCCGGCTCTCACAGTCCTTTTCTTCCTCCGAAAGCCCTTCGCCCTTTCCGCCACCTGCTCCGTCAGGCGGCCCGACCCGGACACACGACCGAAAAAAGGTTCTGATAACGAGATTGTTCCCTGTTAATCTCCCTCTTGACGACGACCTGCCATGTCTCCATGGCACCTTCTCCGAAGAAATGACAGGTTACCCGTTTCCGCACAGCACCGAGGAAGTGAAGGCCAGGAAGAAGAAGTTTCAGCCCAGGCAAAAGAGGACTCCCATGTATGCCGTCGCCCTCATCATCACCCTGCCTTCCTCCACGGCCCATTCCACGCCGGCCACCGTGCGATCCAGTTTCAGAGGTCCCAGCTCGTATGCCGAGCAAGACTCGTTCCCGTCATCATTTGGCTCCACCCGACGCTCCGGCTGGGCGTTGGTGCAAGGTGGGCTCGGCGGACCGGATTCCTTCGAGACCAATTACGGCATAGACATGGAGGATCAAATCGACGCCATTACGCAGCACTGGGACATAATCATGCGCACCCTGAGCCATTTGCAATTTCTTGTTTCCGGCACCCTTTTTACCATGCTCAAACAAACTGATCTCTCCACCCCGGATCCGCTTCCTCTCCAGCTAGCCAGGGCTTCGTCGGTATCTGGCAGGCGCCGCGAGGACGGGCAGCCGGTCAAGAATCCCAAAACAAACGCCAAGCATATCACGCTGCTTCCCAACTGTCTCCTGGACAATCGAACCATCAGCACCGAGGTTGAATTCGCGAAGACACGAATTGTCGCCGGTATCCGGGCTTGCCGCGTGACTACAGGACAGAACAGGTGGCCGATTTGGCGGGAGGAAGCTCGCTGGGTAGCCAAGTGGGCTGGCGCAAGGGAGCAGGGCTTTTTCTTCTTCAACCTGCTCACAGGATTCTTGGCAACGCACACCGACTGGCTCCAGGCATTGAGCCCACCCGCGTATCGCCGTCGACACCTTATCCAGCAGCAGCAGAAAGGCCGGTCCGACGAAGATACTATGGTCCCCGCTCGGACCGTCATACTGAGCGACAACAAGATAGCTGCGCGACGGCTTGTTTTTCTTCTGTCCGCATTCTTGCCAGCTTCCCAGCAGCTTACAGGAATACGAACTCACCAGCCTAGCACCCCAGCATCCTTTGGCGGCCTCTCGCAGTCGCCTCCGTCTTTTGTTGTCCCCGTTCTCAAGGAAGAATCTTTGCGCAGGAAGCTCAACCGCCGGACAGGCTCGCGTATGCCGTCTCACTCCCGCAACCTGAGCCTGCAGACGCACAACGTGCGTCCCGGTGCTGTTCCGCCGCCTCTGGCGCACCTTAGCATGGAAGCCAAACATGAGCGGCGGGCTTCGGATGCCGCTTCAATCCGGGCCACCCACTTGCCTATCCGAGGGAGCGACCCGAACGCGCGGAAGAGCGGCGCTGCCACTACCGCGACCATCACCCCCGAGACTAGCATTCCGCACTTCTCTACCGTTCACCGGCCCGAACTCTTCGCACAAGGACTCCCTGGGAGCAGCAACAGCGCAGCCGCCGATGATCTGAAGCGATTGACTAGGGATGATAGCCCGGCGTCTCAGGGTTCCACGGCCGGGGAACGGAGGCAGAGTTCGAGATGGAGTGTCATCAGCGGCCTTTGGAATGCTCGGAGGCGAGACTCGACGGGCAGATCTCCTGCGCCGAATGAGGGACAAACTGCAAGACCGGGGCCTCCTGCAAAAGCGCGCCAGCCTTCGATTGCCGGGTCTTCCAAGACGACCCCAGAGGCCGGGTGTGCTGGAGGTCCGAAGTGCGCACCAACTGCCGTTGCCCGCGAGGATGTGGCCACCGGTCCCAGAGATCCCACCGCTCCGCCCCGGGCCTCTGCTGATACCTTGGGGCCCAGGGAGCGAACCGGTGCCGTGCAGAAGACGGAGAGGACTCCAGACCCAACCGGCGCCTTTGAGTCGCCGGTCAAGACCTCAATCAACATCGACGATGGCGTTATTGATGTGGATGTCCCGTTGCCGGATTTCATCACATCCTTCGAGAGCGCAGTGAGCTCGCCATCTAGCAGCGGCTATCTCTCTGCTTCGGGTTTTGGTACTGGTCTCGATGCGTTCGAGCAGTCCTTCCGCTTCGCTGCCGACGAAGACATCCCGCTCAACGTTGCCGGTTGGTTGCAGTACTACCACCCGGACTTTGTGTTGCAGGCACTCCCGGCTCAGCACTCCGACATCCTGGAGCAAATCAAGGAATCGATGCGCGCCGAGCCTACCCCGACACTATACCCTGCAACAGCATCGGAGGAAACGGCCACAGAAAAGTGGATCGACATCACCTCGGCCATCGTGGCCGACACAACTACGTTTACTATCACAAGCATACGTTGCCGCCGTCTGGTCAAGCTAACCCGGAATACCTCTGCACCGCCAACCTCAACCACGCCATCGACTCCCGCGGTGTCGGCGGCCACGACCCCGCCATCGTATGAGACGCAACTGAAGGAGGAGTTCATCGAAGAACCCGTCGTTGTCTTTGACGACGCTCTCATCGAGGCTGTCGAGCGCGTCATTGCCGCGGCCGGCACCAGTACTGAAACGACGGCGAGCAAAGCGAACTCGACCAGCTCGTCTAGGTCGACTAGCAAGCGCAGAGAGAGGGACAGGAGGGATAGCTTGTCGGCTGCTGCTGCTGCGGCGGCGGCGGCGGCCGGGTCGCCGGCAGATGCACGTTCCGACCATGGCGAGGTTCAGCAAGGGCAGGGGCAGGCTCAGCATCATCATCATCCAGGGCAGGCACTCGTGCCGGTGGTGGTGTCTGCGCGGGAAGTGCCGCGGTCCAAGTGCAAGACTGTGCTGCTGTCGGCATTGGAGGATATTATCCAGGATGTTATTATGGAGAGAGAGCAAGACCAGGAGCTGGATCAGCGTGGGGCCGGGCCCGCTGCCGCTGTTGCTGCGAGGGAGAGGACGAGGGAGAAGGAGAGCCCCCTGCGTGGAGCGGTCAGGGCTTGGATAGAGAGCTTGGATCTCGTTGGTGATTCTTGAGCGCTTCCTGCTATTACTTGATACCCCCTACCTTTTTTATTCTGTTCTTCTCAAAATTGTTACTAGCAGCGTATGCGGTTAGCTCGGCATGATATGGGCATGGTTAAGACGATATCATCTTTTGGCTAGGCTGACTTGACATTGAGGATGAGAATAGGACCAGCATTGCATGGCCAAGCGTTGTACACGTTGAAGCGGAGGCTGAATACAAATTGATCATATTTCCATCCGTCTCCATTTCCGGATCCAGCCTCGATGTGGTTCGTCGTGAGTCTGCTCCCAACAGCGATAGTTGTACATCGCAGTATACCTTGAGAGTCCTTCAAGTTCCATCCCTGAGCCAAAGGGGAATTAATATCTCTTAGTTTGGCCGGTCACGGTGTCCCCCCATCTTCCGTGGAATGGCGCGCAGGTACCGTTTTTTGGCTGAGCCCACGGGCGCGTAGCATCGCCTCGGCTGATGTCGTTTCCCAAGCCATGGTACTGTACGCGGGTCATGGTAAACGATTCACGGCAGTAACGCTCAGGGTCGCAGTCCCTGCACGCCAGACCATTCCACGGGTCCATAGGGTGATTTAGAGCTTTGCTGCCCGGCGTCATTTGTTGCGCGTCGCAAATGGTTGCTCCCATAACCACACGTCGCAGGACTCCCAACCCTGAGCCCTGTTTTCTTTCAAGTCATCGGCTGGACCAGTCGGTACTTCCCACGCCTCCTCCAACCTGTAGGTATCTCATTAGGATGGTCCTCCGACCTTGACTCGGTTGTGTCAGAGGAGGGGTGCCCTGTGCAAGGAGGCGTGCTTTCTTCACCCCATCATCGTTCTTTCATGTTATCCTACAAGACCGACGTTTGTCTTTGCCTTGTCTCTTGCAAGACCTGCTTGGACGTCCGCGAAACAGGGGTTCCGAACCAGACACGGGACCGGGCACATCCGGAGAGTGGGGATGCACTGCATGGCTGTGTTGTTGGCCTGAAAATATGAGAGGTGCAAGCGGGCGCTTTCCCAGTCATGAAACTAGCAGGGTCCTTCCGACGGGGGCGTCCTAGAATAGCGCACCTGTGTTCAATTTACATTCCTGATCGAAGGAGCTGAGCATCGCGAAGTGGATGCGCGTCGCGTCTGTCTGTATCCGTACCATGGGTTGGTGTTGAGTCGGTAGCGGCTAAAGGGGGCGGTTAAATGTCCGGGGAGACGCTGCTGGTGGACGAGTGCGAGTCCCGGCGCTAGTACCAGAATAATCAAGGTAGCGAGGGATGGCAGCGACAGCGGCGGCTGCAACAGGTTCCTGCTGTATGTACTCCGTACTGCTGTGTTGTGGATGGGCCACTGCAGTGCTCACACGTTCAGGAGAATGTAAGAGTTGGGGTTTTTTTTTTGGGGGGGGGGGGGGGGGGGGAAGGGGGATGGACCGCAAACAAGGTTCAACGGCGAGCTCAAAGCTAAGTAAAGATGTTGCTGGAGAGGACTGCATCTGACCGTTTTCCGTGCCGTTGAGGGCCCGGCGAAAGAGCCGTTGCTCGGGTCGTACTGTGCTCGAGCCATATCAGTCCCTTTGTAGTTCGCCCGCTTCGAGAACATCGCAGAATCGGCCAGCTACGAGGGATATGCCGTACGTCCCACGGAACAAGAAGTGAGTGGGAAGTGAACCAAAATTAGAGGCGACAGCTTTATACATAGCCACTGTTTCGGCTCGTTTGCTCTCCATCCTCTACTTGCACCACAAGATCCATGAAGAGAAGAAGGCGATATGAGCCGATATTCCTTCCCCTTGCACAAAAGCCGACGATTCGAGCCGGGTTTATAGGAAGTCGCCATCTTCGAGTCTCAATCGTCACTCGGAATTTGAGAGAATCCGTTGTTGGGCCGCGAGGATGGCGAGCAACGCCTCAGGCGGTTCATAGGTGACTATCATCGACTTCGATTGCGATGTTAGCGCGGCGCCGGTTTTGCCAGTCGGGTCTTGCAGAAACTGGCTTTTTGTGTTCCATCAAGGCTGCAGTTGTTCATGCATGGCCTCTATCCCAACGGGGGAGACTGCTGAAGGAAGTGACGGGCCCGTGGCCGTTTTGTTGCAGTTCATGCTGTGTTAGGGGACACCGGGATCAGCCTCGCCGGCTCACGCATGGTGCGCCTCGTTTCGCCGACCGGAAAAATGCAACTGCTTATCCTGCGAGTTTTTTGCGACCAGGACGAGAACATACTTGAAATCTAACTCAACTACTTATGTCGGCCGAAATCAGCGTCCTCCTCTCAAGCCCAATAGCTGGAAAGGGGAGCTGCGAAGCCGCGACGGACGATCAAGTCAACCCATCTAAGCAAAGGCCTCATCGGCTGTTCCCTTCAAGAGACGTTGTCTTGACTAAGAAGGTACTGGATCGATGCTGAGGAGAGTACCTTAAACAACCCGACATCCAAGCTCGACGATGGGCTGTCTCGCCTGTTCAATGTGAAGGCGCAGCAACCGACTCAAGTTGGTTTGCTGAGGTACTGTGTATCCGTTCGTGCAAGGCAATAGGAAAGCTACGAACTTGTGACATCTGGCTTGCCAGCATCTGTTGAGAATCATGTTGGCGCATTGTTGGCTTGCCTACTACCACTTTGTGCTTGGTTGCATTCGAGTCTTGCTGTGGAACAACGGATTTGGTTTCAGGGGGGCCAACAATGTGAGTATCCATTGGCTCCCCCGCTCAATCCCCCCGCATGTTAGCCCCGCCAGAGGACATGCCGCCCCTGCAGGGCTAGACCCACTCTGTCAGCTTGCCCTGCGTTCCCGGAATCCCATTCCTCGAGCAGGCAGCGAAGGATTGGACGACAAGGTACAAATGCATCGAGGCGCATTCTGTCATTCCCGTGAATTCCGTCTCACCTCGTCCAGTCGCTCCTCTCAGCCCGGTGCATGGCGCGACAGCACGGCCACCTTCGATTTGAGCTTACCTATCCATCCTGCACAGCAATGTCTCGTTCCCCCGCCAAGTCCTATTTAGGAGTCGGCGGAGCGGTCCCCCGAGGGATCGGGCCGGATAGATTAAAGTGGAAAATGTTCAGGGCCAAACAGCAATCCTCAGCCATACGGAACAAGGCATAGCACCACCCGCTCCGTGATTGCTGACTGCTGCAAGGGGCAACTCTGAAAACGATGTCACCTTCAAGTGCTGGCCACGAGGGAGTTCCCGCCGACCCGGAGCACGGAAGATGGCACAATGCAGTAATTGGGCGTGATGGAATGAACAGAGCCTTGTAAAGCACACGGCCATTGATGGGCGGCCCGGCAGAGCCCCATTTGTGCTGTTTGTTTCTGACTCTCTACTCTGGGTGACTCAACTACGGTATGAAAAGGCTGCCCGCCGCGTGCCGAAACCTGGAGAATTATATATGACCTTACTGCCGCCCTCACTTGCGTCGTCTACCCAGCAGGGGGCCTACCAGACAAGACAGCTAGTAGCCATCAATTATATTTATTCAGTTCCGGGTCAGCTTCAGCCACTCGCGACTAGCCTAGCTTAGATAAGGCACCACCAACACCCGGGAGCCATGCGATCTTCTTACGGCATCGCCGTCGCCCTCTCGGCCGGCTTGCGGCTGACAACGGCCGCCCCCGCCCCGCGAGCCGAGTCGTCTCTTCTCTACGTCACGACCTACCCCGTTGGCCAAGGGGCAGGGAAGCTCATCACGCTTAAGCAGGACCAGACGTCGCTGCAATCTGTCGCCGAGTCTGACAGCTGCGGTCCCTTTCCGTCCTGGCTGACCCAAGCCGGCGATATTCTTTACTGCGTCAACGAGGCCTGGGGTGGGGCCAATGGTGATCTCTCTGCCCTCAAGATCAGTGATGATTTTAGCCTTCCCAAGCTGAGCGGAGGCCAGACCGTCGCTGGTCCGGTGAGCACCGTTGTCTATGGCAAAGGGGGCCGCGGACTCGCTGTTGCGGACTAGTATGTGCTTTCCATGCATTCGCTTCTAGAACTCGGCACCAGCTATATGGCCCGGGAACAGCCACCCCTCCCAACCGAGGCGGGGGTTGTCCCACCGACCGTTCCGTCTGGGTGTGAATGAGACGGCTAACACCGTTTCCAGTGCTGGAGGCGGCGTCGACACGTTCAACATTACCAATCCCGCCGCTATCTCTCTCATCAAGTCGCAGGTGTACCCTGCCCCCGGCGACAACCGCCCCGAACCCCAGAACCAGGCACGCCCTCACCACGCAGTCCTTGACCCCACCGGAAACTTCCTTGTCTTCCCCGATCTGGGCGCCGATCTCCTTCGTGTACTGAGGGTGAACCAGAATACCCTGCAATATACCGACACGGTAGGCATCTTCTGCGCGGCATATGCCCATGGCCCGCGAATCCAGCTGATGCTAAACACGGATACAGAAGAGCTACAAGTTCGCCCGTGGAACCGGCCCTAGGCACGCTGCTTTCTTCAAATCTGGGGACAAGACGTTCCTCTATGTCGTCTGCGAGCTCGCCAACCTTATCCAGGGATTTAGAGTCACTTACAACTACGACAAGACTCTCAGCTTTAGCCGGATCTACAACTCTACCACCCACGGGGGCACCTCTCCCGTTCCGGCTGGCACCTCGGCTGCCGAAATCACTCTCTCTGTACGTTATTATCCCCTTTGGAGCTCACTTGATTCCATTCTAACAAGCCAACAGCCGGACAGCAAGTTCCTGACTGTCTCGTCCCGCAACGAGAAGACGCTCCAGTACACGCTTGCCAACGGCACCGCTGTGCCCTCGGACCCGCTCATCACCTTCTCCATCAACGCCGTGTCGGGCAAGCTCACCCACGTGCAGACGGCCCCCGCTGGAGGTGTGAACCCGAGGCATTTCTCCTTCAACAAGGACGGCAGCCGTGTCGCCTCGGCCCTGCAGTCGGACGGCCGCGTCATTGTGTTTGAGCGCGACGTCGCCTCAGGCAAGATTGGCAAGGCGGTCGCCGAGGCGAACGTACCGGGCATGCCGAACTTTGTGACGTTCAAGCAGTAAATTCCCGGGGTGTATGCTCGTCGTTGGGCTTGTCTCTAAACGTTATGTTCCATTCCACCGTTTCCTGGTAGCATTTATCTTTCAGAACCCAACCAGAAAAGCGTGGTTCTGTCTTCTCTGCGAGGGTTTTGACCATGAGGATACAGGGAAACATCCATCACTTGTCGCTACAAACTCCAACACCACGTCTCCAATCTGTGACGGCGGCGACTCTGCAAATGTCTCGCTGCAACGGGGATTCGTGGAAGAATCACGCGCCGGATCCCTCCCGAGAATCTCCCGACCTTTTACCACCTTACCACAGAAACTAGTTGTCTTGGGTAGCTGTCAGTCAAACCATGTGGTTCTTCACTACAGACAAACGAACAGGTTCCTCACGCCACAAGACTGAAACCGAGACCGATCGATGCATGATCCCCCCCTCCTTCCCCACTGGCCCCCTCGCCAAGCGCCTGATCGAGTGTCATACCCGATCCCTCCTATCTCAAGCCCGTGGCCCGTCTCCGGCAGTCCGCACAAGCCGTTACTCCGGAACCGGGGAAGATCCGGGGCCAAGGAATCTTGCGTGTAATGTACTTATTACACGCACACGTGCACAGGTACCATTCAATATGGGTGTACGATACCCTAACCGCCGGGACACAGGCCAGTGTCCATCACCCGCTGCCCCTTCCTCTCCGTTTACCACATCATACCTGACGGGAAAGGCACTTCTCCTCGGGGGCCCATGTCATAGGCGAGGGGATCATGGTCCCCTACTGGACACTTGATGAGGAGCGAACGCTCTCAAGCAAACGGATAGGGTTGATTTCACTTTGTGTGACGACTTTGCAGGAGCGTGCCTTTGTCAATTTGAGTCGAACTTGGTTATGGAAAAGGCATACCTTGACAGGGTTTGGGGAGTTTTTGAAAGCCTGAATACACGCGGGGCTCGTTCAAGCTACATACGTGTAAGGCTACATATGTGTAAGAGGCGATGACGGCGAGGAAAGATGTGACTTGGGAGGTTAACCCCCTACTGTGGTACAAGTACCTAATTGGGGAACTTGGGGTACGGATAAGCCACAACGGCTTGCCGAATACCAGTGGGCTGCTTTTTGTAACTACAGTAGCGGATCGGCAGAGCGAGTTCGGGTCGGAGCGATGCCGAGCCTCTTCCCTGTCCCGTACCCCGCGCCGGCTCTTACATCTGAGAATAACGTCTTTACCGTATAATGTCTGTTACCCATTTGCAACGGCTTTCGATGGGTTTGTGAGTGCTCAGGTGCCTCGGGAATATGGAGGTAGTGCAAGCACATCTAAGTTACCGGCTCCGGTGCAACCGCGTGTTGGTTTTGGATGCGCGCCATCGGCATGACATATTTACTACGCCGAGCCGAGCACTGCAGAGCCAAAAAGTCATCAGCATCTTGCTTTCCGGGTCTCCGGCGCTTGTCCATACAAGTACCTATCTCAAAAGTGCACCGAAGTTAGAACTCCGAGCCCGCGTGAGCCGTGGAGAGTGAACTGGTACCGAAAGGAGCATGATGTTGGTGGACCTCATTGACCGGAGGATGGGGTTGAATGGAATGGTGTGGACGGTGTTCCAGCGAAAATCCCCAAATGGTACATCAAAGACCGGATCTGTAAATTAGCTGCGCGGCTCACGGACCCCTTTCAAGTCTCCCGACGCGAGTGTACCTCCCGGGTCGGGAAGTGATAGACCCTCCCGCGCACATCGAAGGATCCCTGGAAGGGCACCATTGTTTCGAGGCCTGTGACCAGCAAGGGACCCTGCGCGTCTGGTTGTGCCGAGTCCTGCAGCACGGCTCGCCAGCTGTGGACAGGCCTTGTTGACCAACCAAACTGGAGGCAGTTTCATTCCAGAAGGATGGGCCAAAACAGGGATGCCAGCGTCACGGTCAGGTTGGGGTAGCGAAAGCCGAAGCTAAAAAAATGTACCTTACTTAGCGTACCTTAACATACTGTACCGTACCTCTTCCGGGACACTGTTCCCTTGTAGTAAGGCTTCGACGTCGAATTCCTCAGGTAAGGTGCCGTGGGTGCGAAGCGTCGGCAATCGTCAACAGCTGCTGCGGACGCATCGCCCATCTGCACGTCCCAAAGCCTTGGCGAACCATGACAACCGCTCTCAGATGTTTACCCAGCAAAACAGCCGTCAAAAGCACATCGAAGACTTCTGAGGAGCCCTCTCAGGGGCGATCCGGAAACTCGCGGAGCTTGCGGAGTACGGATACGGAGCACGTGCAAGACCCTCGGTTATTGAGACCCACAGCGCCATCGGCGCCGGCGAGTGGAGGAGAGCGGCGGCGGAAGGGGGCCGGACCCCGCTTGAAGACGGACAGCTCAGTGCTGTGTATGGCAGGGTCCGCAGGGCAAGGTGCTGGCTGTGGGGTGCATTTCAGAGGCCACTGCAGGGAGCCGCGCGGGTAGCGAAAAGCAGCTGCCAGGCATCGACAATGGGAGATAGATGACTTGCAATATCGATTCCCGTCGCCGTGATCAGGGCGCGGGAGGTCGAGAATCGGGAGAGCCGCGTTGTGGACGACTCAACAGCGGGCGTGCGTCGATTAATATCGGAGTGGGTTCAAGGTCAGTCCCATGACCGCCCTGACCGCTCTGACAGCTCGGTTATCCGGGGTATGTCGCGGGCGGGGGCACAGCCTGACGCGGCGATTCCCAGGCACTCGGGTTGCCGAGGCGCTCACAATCCGGCCGCCGTACGGTTGTGGCGAGTGAAGCTGGTAGCTGATTTGACCGGCTCGACGGTGAAGTGAAAGGCTCGCTCCCGAGACTCTGCCTACAAGCTCACAGGTGATGGCGGGGGTTGTTAAGGCACTGACCGTGAAACTGCTGGTACTCCATTGTATGTTGCGTCTGATTTGAGGCACGTTTGTGTGCTGTACCATAAGGTTCAGAGGTATTGATGAAATCGTTGTCAGGTGGTGACCGTTTGCATGGTCTTCATCAGTTCGGGGCATGGGCTTCAGCGCGGGGAACTAATCGGACCGACACCCTCCTTTGGTACTCCAGTCAGAAGTGCTGTCCAAAAGCCACCACCCAACGCGCCTGGCTACGCGACGGATGCACGTGCGGTCACATGCACTGGGGTAAGGGAAAACCTGCGAGGTCAGCCATACCGTCTGTAATAACGGACTGCATGCCACAGCAGCTTAGGTGGTAGTTGTTTGTACAGTGTCAGTTCCCTGGAGATCCGTGGCAGCCACACCTCGGCCAGTCGAGGCTCATCAACACGGAGTACTTTGTAGAGTGGAGACATGGTGGATCCTGCGAAAAGAAGCTCGAGGAGTTCACACGAAGCTGATGAGAGAGTCTGTGCCTCGTGACGGGACGGAAGGATTGTGATCTTGGACAACGAGATGCTTCTCCACCTGGGGAATGCGGCCTGGATCGGCGATGGTGACACGGCAGAATATCATATCGGTACCGTGGTCATGGACAGTATGTACAAGGCTCAGTTCACGATTATCAGCGTCTCTCGTTACCCGAAATAGGCTGCCGCTTGCTGCACATCTCTGGGAAGCTCGCCAACGCCAGTGGCGAGTATGGGGTGGGGGGAGATGATGCTCACGAGACTCGCTGCATCAACGAGAAAGGAAGAAAAGCGAGCGGGAGAAGGCTTTCCATCTTCACAGGACCCCTGCGCGTCCCTGGCATTCAGTACTCTGAGAAATCAGCACGGCAATGAGAGATACTCTTCTCCGAAGCACGCAGCAGGCCGTGAACACCGGCACAGCACGGCGTAGTGGATCGGGCACGATCGACTAACGCTACAAAGCTCGCACCGGCTAAGGCACTTGCTTCTGCGACACAATCACGGACCTCGTCCAGTGGTGTGGGGAAGGGGTGCTTCTCGAAGGCTTCTCTGCTTCTCTGGTGGACAAATGCGGAGAGGCCGAGCTTGGTGGCTGACGTGGTTCGACAGCCAAGAGATTGCGAGGAGCGACGGTGGCAGGTGCCGGATTTATGCTAAATTGATGACTGCAAGCGTTGCGAAAGCCTCGCGAGGTTGTGTGTGGTGGTTTTTGTTGGCGATGCAGTGTTTCGTGTCTGCCTGAGAAAAGCCTTCTTATAACGCTAGCATAACTCGCCTGACGCTGAAGCCGAGCGTGGACGAGCCCCAAGCGTCGACGGGATTGTCGATGAGGGATCAGTCTCTTGGTGCCCCGGGCCAATGCATGCCGAATGAATGCAGCCCAGAACTCGGTGGTTGACGTATCTTCTCGTTGGAAGACCCGCCATGTGAGCTCGTCGCCAGGTCCCGTTCCTTCGGTGAAATGAGCTTTTCTGCACACACATTTCAGCACCATCACGGCATCGCGCAAGATGAATCATGGTGCGTTAATAATGGAGCTCAGGCTTCAAGTTGGATTGTTCGATCCTTGGCATCCGGGACGGGCATGCGTTCGCTCAGCAATCCCAATTTCATTCCGCACACCCTAGATTGGCTACCATGGACAGCCCATGTACAAGTTGCATGTCCAGTCTGTCAAAGGGTCTTCTAGGGACTTTGAGAAGGTTGGTAGTTGGAATGCGCTAATGAGATTGTGTCGGTAGGTTTCTGTTGTGTTATACAAGATATGCTCAGCAGTGGACCGTAGGTGAGAGACCCTTGAACGGCCTGAGGTGTTTCGGTGGAAGCCAACTGAGGGTGCGGAGTGGGCAATGGGGAGGGACCCCACCCCCGCGCTGTCTCAACTGCCAGCCTTGGAGTTTCCCCTTCCTTCCAGGTCCTCTGTCCCCTTGAGCCCCTCCATTAGCCTGACCCACCAGCTTGTTCTGTGTGTGGGACACGACGGATTTGAGACGCCTGCCAGCTACACGTGGAGAGCACACCTTTTCTTGAGTTGCTTCATGCAGCTCGCTAAAACCGAGCAAGTCCTCGGACATCGCTTGAGCTTTCTGCGCGCTAATCTCTCAGCTTGAGCGCTTCCGGCCAGGGCAACCCCAAGAGATCGCAGAAAGCAGCAGAAAAGCGACATTGGACGTACCCCACAACGCACCTTCTCGAGTCTCGCAATGCAACCTTCGACAGGGGTTGTTGCAGCCACCAAAGTCGTTCGCCTCTTCATCAATCCCAGTCAGCACTACCGTTAGCGCATTCTGTCACCGTCCCGTCTCCGTTACCGTAATGGCTGGCTGTCTGCGCAGGTCAGCCCGAGGAACAAATCCACTGTTCTTCCCCACAAAGCTAAACGGTCGGGTTTGCGTTATTAGCACGACACCAATGCCACACCTGATACGCGCCGGCCTGGCCTGCTCTGATTGCAGGTCTTCGAGTCTCCTTCAATACCTGATCGGTACAAAGTGCCTGCCCCAGTACCACGGTGTACTCCATACTTTAGCTGGCACTTCCTCTTGGCAAGCTGTCTCGGCACAGGCTAACCCCGTATTTGCTGCTGGGACCTTTCATATGAACCCTCCATCGCCGTTCGCAAGATCCCGGAGAAAGCTTTCACTTTCCCTACAACCTCATCCGCCCAAGATCTCGACGCAACCACACACGCCAATATACCTTACCCAGTAATTCGACATTGGCTTTTTGGTCCTGCTGGGAGCTGAACGATAATGCGAGTTCGACAGCACACCACGATTTACTGTGTTCTCGGTGTCTGCGGCGTCTGAATTAGCGACTGTGGTCGGTGCTGGAGAAGGTCGCTTTGCTGATTGGTTGACGGTCACAGTGGGAGAAGAAATTGACGAGTCCTGCCTTTCAGATTCTAGGCGGCTCGCGCCTTTGGGAACCCCCACAGCGTTGCCGCAGCCAGCGCAAACTAGCATGTCGCCGTCGTCCAACGGCGATTCTCCGCACTCGGCAACGGCCACGATGACGGCGGCTGCCGCAGCGGGTGTTTCCAGGCAGTTTCCGCTGCCAAACCGGGATTTTTCGGTCGAGATTCCTTCCCCCCAGCTCGCTGCCGCCCCCAACGGCGCGAACACGCTGAAGTCGCCAAACTCGCTCAAGGCTGCTGCTGCTGCACGGACGCCGAGCTTCAGCCGGGAGGGCATCCTTGGCTCGGCGCAGAAAGCTCGAAATCTCTCCCAATCATCCGAGAATAGGCCAGAGTCGGTCCAGAATGGTATCCCGAAGTCGACAAGCGAAGAGAGCATCAACAGTATCAACCCATTAAAGAGGAGAAACACGGATGCCGCAGTGGATTACCCGAGGCGGAGAGCCACCATTGCCGTATGTGGCCCTTTGAGCACCGTCGCCGTCCTCGTGCTGACTGGTTCATAGTGTGAGGTGTGTCGTTCGAGAAAATCGAGATGTGACGGTACGAAACCGAAGTGCAAGCTCTGCACAGAGCTGGGCGCCGAATGCATCTACCGGGAGCCGGGTATCAAGCTGGACGCCGGAGACAAGCTCATCCTGGAGCGCCTGAATCGAATCGAGAACCTCCTTCAGATGACCGTGGTTGGTGGCCATGGCAACGGCATTGGCTTGTCCCACGACTCGCCCAACATGAGCAATGGAACTGCCTTGAGCGGCGACAATCTGATGATGCAGAATGCTAACAGCAACTTCGTCTCCATCATCCCCAGCGGCGGCCTGGGCACTTGGTCCGCGACCGCCACCAACATATCCACCATGCCCAAGGTGCACACCAACGCGGCTCTACACCTGTTGCAATGGCCGCTAATTCGGGACTTGGTGTCCCGGCCTTATGACCCCCAAATCCTCCTTCAGCTCGAAATGGCCCGGGAACCGCTGCACTCCCTCGCCAAAACTCCCTGCGTGGACTTGTCCAATACCAACGCGTACATCGAAGCATACTTCGACCGAGTCAACATCTGGTACGCCTGCGTCAACCCGTACACCTGGCGCAGCCACTACCGCATCGCGCTGTCCAACGGGTTCAGGGAAGGACCTGAGAGCTGCATTGTGCTTCTCGTTTTAGCCCTCGGGCAGGCGAGTTTGAGGGGGAGCATATCGAGGATTGTCCCACACGAGGATCCGCCAGGTCTCCAATATTTCACGGCTGCTTGGTCGCTGCTCCCCGGCATGATGACCTCCAATAGCGTGCTTGCCGCGCAGTGCCACCTGCTCGCCGCGGCCTACCTGTTCTACCTGGTGAGGCCCCTGGAGGCCTGGAACTTGCTTTGCACCACGAGCACGAAGCTACAGCTTTTGCTCATGACGCCCAACCGAGTCCCCACCGACCAGCGGGAGTTGATTGAGAGGATTTACTGGAACTCGCTCCTCTTCGAGAGCGATTTGCTGGCCGAGCTGGACCTGCCCCACTCGGGCGTCGTGGCATTCGAGGAAAACGTCGGCCTCCCCTGCGGCTTTGAAGGCGACGAACAGGAAGCGGTTGGGCGAGACGAGTTGTGGTATTTCTTGGCTGAGATCGCGTTGCGCCGGCTCTTGAACCGCGTCAGCCAGCTTATCTACTCCAAGGACTCGATGGCATCGACCACCAGCCTCGAGCCGGTCGTCGCCGAGCTGGACTTCCAGCTGACGCAGTGGTACGAGAGTCTGCCCGTGCCCCTGCAGTTCCCCTTTACGCGCACCATGCTGCCTGATCCGGTGCAGACGGTGCTGAGGCTGCGCTTCTTCGCCTGTCGAACCATCATCTACCGGCCATACATCCTCGCCGTGCTGGATAACGAGCAGGCGATATTGGACCCCGCGGTGCGGGACAGTTGCACCAAGTGCCTAGAAGCCTCAATCCGGCAATTGGAACACATCACTGCGCAGTAAGCTCTTTCCCCCTCCCCCTGATTGGCCGAACACTCCTCCCAATCTAACCAATTGGCCGCAGTCACGCCGGGCATATGCCGTACCTTTGGCAAGGGGCGCTTTCTATCGTGTCGCAGACGTTACTCGTCATGGGCGCTACCATGTCGCCGTCTCTTTCTACTATACTCTGGAGCCTCGTTCCCCACCGCGAGGCCATCGACCAGATCATCAACGATGTTGTCATGGAGATTGAGCGTTATGCCGTCCTCTCTCCTAGTCTCAGCCTCTCGGCTGAGATCATCAAGGAAGCCGAAGTTCGGCGCCGGACCTTTTTGAGTGGTTGATCCGCTTACAGGGCACAGCCCCCGGACACCTGCTCCGAGCATGCATCAGCCTGTTCGCTGACGCATCTTGTCTAGCCCGTGCTTGATCACGCTTCCGGTCCTCTGGGAATTTTCTTGCGTCGCCACAAACCCCACGACCCGCAGTTCGCCTCCTGCGAATGCACCGGCCAGCTGCATGTCCGGCGCGAACGAGTGGCATTCCGCTGGAACATGCTGCAAAACGACTCTTTTTTGACACGCAGCCGCTCCGTTACATCCTCGACAGGAACCCTGCCCCGTTTACGACAAGGCGAATACCATCGCTCTGCTGCCATGCGGAGGGCCCGAGGATCCAAACAGGGTTTCCCGGTTATCTGTATCAAGAGCTAATTCTGTCCTAATCGATCGAGTGGGCGCCAAGGGAAAACGGGCTACCCAGAAAGGAGATTCTGCAGGCTAAGACTGGGGTTACACACTGGGCTTCCCAGCACGAGTTAGAATTGACCTTGTGTTGGAGCGAGGCTGTAGATGGTCTTGGATACGGATATGACGGCCCGAGATTCCGCTTCTACCTTTCCATCCCCGCTCCCCGCATTCACTTCTCATGCGCCCCATCCTGGGCCATCAACCGTTCGCATCTAGCCCTCTAAGCTGGTTTTCTCACCGTATCACGGAAACTGGAGGGGGTACGATCGGCAGGCAAATACACCACCGTTTGGCGTTGGGATGGAATACCCTTACTTGGGGATCATGTACGTTTCGGTCTGGGGTTTTTGGTATTGTTTCATTTGGTGGATATATCCCTGGGATGTAGCATGACATGTGTAAAGGATTTGGAGAAGCCAGACGAATTACGTTCCTTCGAGACCCCAACTCATCTCGAATCCTTGTTGGAGTCGGACGATGCCGTTGTGACTCTATGTAGAGTACTCATGTTGTAACACTCACCAGTCAAGGTACCCCAACCACGGCAATGTCTAATACCAGCGGCATTTGAAGCCTATTTTTATCACTTCCTCTTCCTCACTTCAATGCACGTACATACAGTACCTTATACAAATCGCGTCCCGTGTCGATCGCTTCCTCCGCAACGGTGCTGCGGGGTTACCTATCGTGGCACCCCCGACAGCCCAACCCCCTTCCCCCCTCCTTTCGTCCCCATCTTTTCCGGGCCCGTCTTCCGAAGCCACATGCAAGGACAACCGGGGATGGATGCGCCGCTTATGGGAAAGGGGCATGGGGTGAGATTTAATTAACATTGGGCTTATCATCGGAGACTGGTTTCTCTTCGATGATGAGTGATTTTATTCTCTTGCGACTTTCCCACTACACCGGCATGGACCTGGCCTTTTATCTGAGGAGATTGAAGGAACTCCCTAAGGGTGGATCTTAGGGTACAGGTTCCATGTCTGGTTTGGCAACATACTGGTACCTGAATGTGTAGTTGCCTGGGCTGGTCCCTCGTCTTGGGGGTCTGTGGTGCGTCTGTGTACGTGAAAGAGTTTAGCATCCACAATACGGCTGATGCCAGCTGAAGTAGACTGGTGGCCGATGCAATTGTAGGCAATGCGTGGCAGAAGTGAACTCAAACGTGTTTGTGTGTTTTGATGAAGATGGGTGAGCGAGGCACTGCAGTCTGCACGAAGTGTCCCATTGACAAAATGCCGGATAAGCGTTCGAAGGCGTTCAAGTTTGTTCGATGCGAAAATGGCTGAGCATTCTTCTTGCCTGGCACTAGATATAAAGCGAGGTTGTCTGTCTATTGGCGTCATTCTCCATCCAATCCATGAGATTCATATGAGGTCGATCTCAGTTTGTAGTTTGGGATGAGTGAATTTACCTGCTGGTCCATCAAACACATAATACAAAGTACTAGTGGGCTAGCACAAACGCGCCATTATATAGACGGCAAGGTATGCTAGCCATGTGGGTTTGTATTGATAAGCCTCACGAGGTATACTTGGCCCAGTTGTAAGATGGACGTTGAGAGGTTGGTCACAGTCTGTGGCTTATTGTCTCAGCAAAAATATGCAGGAGGATTCCCGTACCACTTGCCGCGATCCGACACGGCACGGAAAGCCATTCTCGGACATGACTTTCAACTATAGCGGGATGCTCAATGTAAGATCTTAGGCAGCCGTAGCTTAGCTGTTATATGTTCACCAGCGCCATGCTTGGACGTCGCCGGTCGTTGGTAAGAATAGTAACTCATAACATGGATCTGCGGCGTTGAGTAGTGCTCTAAGGTAACTATATTTTTGCCGTTGAACAGGCCGGACGAACTGAGTCAAGAATAGAGAACCCGGAGACGACTGCAGTAGCGAATCAAAGAGGTCGTTATGGATTAACCCGTCGCAACAGATTGAGGCCAGGAAATGATCTTTACGTGTGCAATCGGACCTGGATAATCACACTTGACTGACCTGTACAAGTACAGACGACAGGTGGCATGGATCCGTTCGCACATCGGACGGCTCCCGGAAGATGGAATTTTTATCTGCCGTAACAGCAGCGAAGTGGATATCGCAGGTCAGCCCCCTACTACGCGCAGTACAGAACATGAGGTTCCATTGCTGAGTTTCAGTTGTAAGTGAAGCTTTGCATATTACCAATACAGCATCCTCCTTTATCTCTTGTCTTCCGTTTGTTGAAGAGGACGAGGGCGGGCTGCTCCGTGTGTGGCGTTTGTCCGATGTGGGGCCGAGTCGGCAAGGCCCGCTGCCGAGTGCGGGGAGTGAAAAGGGACAAGCGCCCGCACACCGTAGCTGCCCGTCTTTTGGGCTTGGCCAGAAGCTCCTGACAACCGAAAGCGAATTTCAAGTTCCATCGCCAGCTGTTAGCCCTTGAGAAAGTAAAACCCATAATGTCATGGAGGCCAAAGGTGAATATTCATTTGGTCCGACCACTCGAGTTGTATACCGTAGTTGTGGCCCGGAGTCACGTGACATGGCACACCAATCTCCCCGCCATCGCAATTTCTCTGCTTTCAATTGGATTCGCCCTTTGTCAGCTGCGGGTGTTGAAGTTGGATTGCACTCATCAGCACCACCTTCTGGGCTTGCGTTAGTGTCTATCACGGGCAGCGTGGATTGGAAGGAGACAGGAGAGTTCACTCCCTTTTGGATCGGGACCGTTGGAAGCAGCGACTGACTGGCTCATCACGAGGGCTTCTCGCTTGTGGAGCTCGAGGAGCTAAAACATCCTTAGCACGCCCCTGCCCAATCCATCCCCCATCGTCACCCCTCATCTGAATCTCGTCGCCTCGACTCAACCCATCCAACACCCCTTCTCTGGGGCTGCATTTCACCTCGACGGTGCCCAAAGTAACCGGCAGTTTTTTTTGGCTTGCAACTACGGGCCTCGTTGGGCTTTTATCAGGCGCCCACGGTATCCTTGCCAGTGAACAAGGGGCAGCGCCGGGGGTAGGTGAGGTGGCCTGGTTGTTGAGCTGGCAATGCACAAGCACCATCCGCGAGCCCAATCGCAGCTGGGGCAGTGGTAGACCCGCCCTTGCCTGGCCAACCACGCTCAACCAGCTGGGCACACTCAATTCGGACATCTCAACTTTGCTCCTCCTTCCCGCGGCTGTTCTCGGTTGCTAGACCGACACAACCGCCTTCTTTGGTGCGCAGTCGTACTCGACGCGAATGCTGCTGCTACCCCGGGGCTGAACACGGGACGAATGGCCGACCTCGACCAGCAGCAGGGCGGGCCCAGTACCTCGCGAAGAAGGAAGCAGACCGGCAAACCGAGGCCTCAGCCCGCAAATGATTGGTCACGGGCTGGCGAGCCACGCCCCCGCGCCTCGCCTCGTCCGAGACGCCATGGAGATATAGATATGGACATAGTCGAGTCGTCGTCCAACGAGGACGACGACAACGAGGCCAGGGCGTCCCCGATGAAGCAGAAGCAACGTCGCAGGCGCCGCCCGCAACGTCCGAGTTCCACGACATCTGATACGGCCTCCGACACGACGCCTCCCGTCCTCAAGGCCAGTCACCGGTCTCCAAAAGGTCGCTCCAAGGCCATGCGGGTGCCCAACGCTTCTGTGCCCGTGGTAACTGCGGACCCGGTCCCTCGGCGCCCAACCTGTATCATCGAAGAGGAGGAGGAGGATGAGGAGGAGGAGGAGGAGGGGGAGGACGACGAGGAGGAGGAGGAGGACGTGGCGCCCTCAGGCCCATCGCGGCCCGTGAGTCGCCAGACCATAGCTCGCCGCGAAATCAGTCCCCGATCCGCACACCGCTACCGGTCGACGCCTGAGTCCCGCCGCTCACCGAGAACATCCGTATCAGATTCCGAAGACGATACCGACGCCACCTCCGACTCCGAAGAGGAGCAGGTCATCCAGCCCCGCGGCAAGAACCTTCCACCGGCGCCGATGGCCCCTGCTGTTCCGCCCGCTCCTCCAGCCAACGCTGTCCCCATCTCGCTCCAGGAGCGGCTAAGCCGACGTCCCGAGATGGTATACGAGGAGGAGGAAGGGGACGGTACCTCAAGGTACGCCCCGTCGGTAGCCCGCCATCGGTCATTATCCCGCCCGCCCTCCAGCAGGCAGGATCAGTACCGACGCCCCAGGGATATCACTGTATCCGGTCCTCCAAGCCTCGACGAGACGCGGAGGCGGTCTCGGTCCAGATCCAAAAGGTAGGTGGATAGCAGCCGCCCTCGTCCAACTACAATGGTGCCATTGCTTTGTGTATGCTAATGCGCGCCTGTAGTGCCAGACCGTCCAGGAGGCACTATGACTCTGACGTCTATGTTCCCTCAAGGCCTGCTTCGACGTTCCAGAGGCCCCATGCTTCATCATCCTACAGTATAAGTTCTTCCGCACGGCGTTCAACGCTCTTTGGTGATGTCGCCGCGCACTCGGCCCGCCCATCGCGCTTGGAGAAGCCAGTCGAGCGGTCAGTCTCCATCCTCCGCAGCCGAGTGCACCATGTGGCATTTCTGACTCTGGCTTTAGTACTACCGTGTGTGTGCTCTGCCGGGATAAGAACACGCTTGTCAGCAAGACAGTCAAGCTCAAATGCTGCCACCGCATGTGCCATTCGTGTCTGCGCAGGGTCTTCGAACTATCTCTCACTGACCCTCAGCAACACATGCCCCCGCGATGTTGCACCTCCGATAACATTCCTCCCAAGTACGTCGACATGCTGTTCGATTCCAGCTTCAAGAGGGAATGGGCCCAGAGATACAGGGAGCACACCAGCAGAAATCGCATCACGTGCCCATCGCGTCAATGCGGCGGCTCGGTCAAGCCAGAAGATTTGCGCCGCGAAGGCGGTCGCTGGCAGGGCAGGTGTAGCCGTTGTAGGACCAGGATCTGCGGATCCTGCAGTGGCCGATGGCACCACCAGACCGAATGTCCACTGAACGATGACGCCACCCAGTTGCTCGAGCAGGGGAAACGGGATTCCTGGCAACGCTGCTACCACTGCAAGACCGTGGTGGAGAGGAAGCACGGTGTCAAACGTGCGATATGGTTAGAGCTTGCCTTAGCAACCACAACCCCCCCCCCTCTTCCCCACCTCACGCTAAATCCATGTGTCGTCTTGTTTTACTAACTCCCTACTCCATGTGTAGTCACTGTGGCGCAGAGCTTTGCCTGGTCTGCGGAGGCAAGTGGAAGTCGTGTGAATGCCCCTGGTCCAAGTACGATGCGGAGGCGGATGTGATGATTTCAAGGCCGAATCCCTTCGCTTCTCGCCCCGCCTCACCGCGTGAGCTTCAGTCGGATTTCACGCCTCCTACCACTGCTCGACCTCGGCCGTCAAGTTACGAGGACGACCTGTACCTGCGTCGGCTACATGACCACGGAGAGGAGCATCTCGCGAGAAAGATGCACTCTTTTGACGCGTTTGCTGAATTTGATCGAAAAAGGGAGGAATACGACTTGGATGATGCCCTTGAGCCTCGTGATCGCCGGCGCCGTGCCGGAACTCGGGACTACGGCGCGCCATTCGAGGATGACGACTATCATCGCCGCGCTGCGACCGTCGTAGCCCCATCACCGCCACAACTACACGTGCCCGCCGCACCGCCACCGCCGAGATCCGCATTTGAACCGCCTTCACGTTCAGCTTTTGATCGGGCAGCATCCTCTTTTGAATACAGCACCCCAGTTCACCGGAGCCGAGGGATGCGGTATGCCTCTCCGGAGAGATATGACGGTTACATGGTGGAAAACTACCCACCAGAAAGACGATCCCCTCGCTCTCCGGACAACTGGCACTCCTACTCACAGGAGCGGCGGCCTCGTTCTCGCGACAGGCGGCACACTTTTCCGTCCGAATCACGGCCCACGTCGCCTGAAACATGGCAACTGCCCACGCGCTACCCCTCTCCCGAGCCTCCCATGCCGGCTACAGAAGAAAGAGGGCGCCCTGCTTCGCCCGAAAGACGTCGCACTACCTCTCTTGAAAGGCGCCTCGCCGGCAGGTTCAAGAAAGAGAGCAGGCAAAGCCCAGCCGCTGGGACCCTTCCCGTGGGGCCTGCCGGCCAGATCTGTGCAATCGGCACCCTTGGCCCAGTCGGGCCCCTAAGTCCCGCCCGCATCCCTCACCCACCCTCGCGAGCCGCTACGCACATCGGCATAGGCATGCCCATGGCGCCTGCGCCGCCGCCCGCCATCCACGGGGCACCTCCCGTCGTTACCCCTCTCCGAAGATATCACACCATGGGCGAAGAGGGCTACGCGCCGGGCGGCATGCCTCCACCGGCAGATTGGTTCGGGCCGCCTCTTCCTCATGACCATCCGCACAATCACCCTCATGCCCGCCCTCCTCCTCCCCCTCCTCCTCACCCTCACGCTCCCGGGTTGGGCATGATGCCTCATCACGGGCCTCCTCTCCCTGGTATGCACGACATGATGGACATGAACGGTAGTGGCGGTTCGCCGCGCGGACCCCATGTGAAGAGGCGGCCTCCGCAGGCGCATCGCGAGCATAATAAGTATGAGCTGCCGAGGTCGTCGGTCTTGGCGGGCTTGGGAGGCTTGGGCAGGGGGATGCATCGTGTTTCGGAGTGGGTGAATTATGTTGAGCCGGGCTTGCCGGATGGGGACGCGGCGACGACCGTTGTGCAGTAGTAGCCGGCCTGGCTCTTATTCCGGATTCTTTTCTTTCCCTGGCGCTTGATTGGTTGTTTCTGATTCATCGCTTTTCCTGGATACTTGTTCACTTGGATATGAGGGGAGCGGAGCAATGGATTGGGTATGGATTGGCAAGGCGATGAGCCCCAAGGGGTGGTATAGTCATGACGTTTATGATTGAATGTTATATGGTCGGTATGTGGGCATTGTGGGTGCATGTGGGTTTTGTATATGTCTGGTTGGGCGGGGGAGGCCCGAGATGGTCGGGGGTAGGGGGAAGGACGCGGGAATCGGTGACTCTGGCCCAGGCAGAGAAGCCCTCTTTGCTGTATCTACAAACTGCCTGTCATTGCATATAATGTCTGTCTGCTCGGTGATTCCTCTCCTCTTGGCCGCTTCCTCGCTCTTCTCTGTTCTGCAGGCGGTGGTGGGACGGGTTGTGCGTACAACTCTGGGCGTGAGTCGCAAGGGTCTCTGAATAGGTACTGTATCAATCGTGCCGTGGTTCAGTAGTCCACGAAGCTCGGGCCGCGTTGTCAGAAGATTCGCTGTACGATCCCTTGAAGGAAGATTTCAGTTACAACAGCAGGAGTGAAGCAATATTCCGATACTACGCATAGAGTTATGTAAACTGGAACAGGTACGCCCTCTGCTGTTGGCACATTCACCCCTCTGCGATTTACCTCTTCGCCTTCTTGCTCGGCCTCGCATTCTTCTCCTTTTTTCTCTCCTTGAGCTGCCGCGCCTTGCGGATGTCTGTGGCGCTCTTGAGCTCCCTCCGACTGCCCTCGCCGTCCTTGTACCTGCCAACGCGTTTCTCCTTGGCCTCGGCCACGCGCTTCTTGCGCTCGTGATAGTCGTCGCGGAACTTGTCGGCGTCCTTGGGCGCCTTTTCCAGCTTGTGCTTGTACCGCACGCCTCCCGGCGCGCTGAAGTTGCGCACAAGATTGGACTTTTCGGCCTCGCCCACCCCGGGCAGCCGGCCGAGCCGGTTCGCGCGGCGCCACTTGTCGAAGCGGCCGCTCTGGAACGACGCGGCGATCTTGACGCCGCTTTCGCCGCGAATCATTTTGGCGCCGCGCGAGCCATCGTCATCGTTGGCGCGCGAGACGTACTTACTGTGGCGCTTGTCCCAGCGCATCTTGGAGCGAGTCGGCAGACCAAAGGCTTTGGCTCCCTCGTCGTTATTCAGGTCCATGGCGGCATCACGAGCTGCTTCAACAAAGTGCGAGGTGCCGCCCGAATGGATGCCGTATGCGCGTTCCTCGGCTACGCTGGTTGTGCGGGGAGTGTAGGACATAAATATTTCAGGATCTTCGAAAGAGGTCTGGCCCTTCTTGGACTTGCTGCTGTTTGATATCGTGACCTCCAGTTCCGAGTCCGACTCCTCGTCCTCCCATGCGCCCTCTCCTTGTTCACCAGCTTGTTCTTCTCCAAACTTCTTAAAGCTGCCTCCTCCGTCTTCTTGGGTAGGCGAGTCGGCATCAGCATCCGCCATCTCGGTATCCTCCTCTTTCTTCGCGTTTCTCCGGGGGCCAACCTTTGCCCTGAAGTTGCGCATCACCTCGGCAGCCTTGTTCTTTGAAGATTTGCCCTGGGGCCCAATCTCGAAAACGGTTTCTTGAGGCTTGAAACCACTAATCTTGGAGAGCAGGCTATCCCGAGCTTCTGCGGCGTCTGCAGCAGATTCCCCGAACAGAGCATGCAGCTGGGTCCAGCCTTTGGATGCGATTACTTCGCGGGCACGCTTGGCGCTCTGGCTGGATGCCGAATTTCTGGTCTTCATGTACAGCTTTTCGGCCTTGATGGTGACTCCCTTGAGGGCACTGATATCGCTGTTCTCACTGAGCACCTTGTTGACCCACTCCGTGTTGTTCTCGAGCTCCGCTCTCATCAAGGACCCGACCACCACATCTCTGGCAAAGGATGGTTCAGTTACCTCCTGACCAAGGACTAGCCTCCTGCCCAAGAAGAGGTGGAGATCTAGGAGATAGGGGAGGTCTGATTCTTTGACGAGAGCATATGCCCAACCGCGCTGGCCAGCACGCGCGGTTCGGCCAACGCGGTGAACGAAGATCTTGGGCTGAGAGGGAAAGTCATAGTTGATGACGTTGGCGAGAACCGGGATATCGATACCGCGAGCAGCAACATCCGTGACGACCAGGATATTGGACCTGCCCCTTCGGAAATTGTCGACCTGAATTTTCCGGGCTGTCTGGTCGAGTGAGCCGTAGACATACGACACGGAGAAGCCGGCATGGCGCAGCAATTTTGCGATGTACTCGACGTGATGCTTGGTGGCGGTGAAGATGATAGTCGAATGTTCTGTTGGCTTCTCTTTCCGATTTGGTTTGTCAGACCCGCGCTTTCGCTTCCTTGACTGCTGTTCATCGTCCTGCTCGACGCCTGCTGGCGGTCCCAAGGGCATCTTAATGATGTCATGAAGGATGTGGAGGAGGGCGCCCTCCTTCTCGGCGCCCTTGACTGAGAAGAAAGCGCTCTCAAGGTCAGGAGACACCTTGGTCTCAGCATCCAACCTCACAAGACTAGGCTCTTGCAGACCAGCTCTGGCAAACTCGACCAAAGAGGAGGGCAGGGTCGCCGAGAAGAGGAGGGTCTGCCTCGATGGCGGCAGCGCATGCAGAATCTCGGTAAGCTGGGCAGCGAAGCCCATTTCGAACAGGCGATCTGCCTCGTCAAAGACGACATATCGGACCGACGAGAGGTCCAGGGACATCTCTACCTTCAGATGTAGGAACCGACCGGGAGTAGCGATAACGATATCAGGGTTGGCGGCCATCAATCCGAACTGTTCTTCCAGGCTGTCGCCACCGACTAGCAGGACCGTCCTGAGATCTGTCCCTTTGCCGAGCTCCTTCACAACCTTCAATGTCTGCAGGGCCAACTCGCGCGAGGGTGACAGGATAAGAGCCCTAGCCCCAACCCGTGCGCTGTGTGCTTTCAAGCGCTCGATCATGGGGATGACGAAAGCGGCCGTCTTGCCGGAACCTGTGCGGGCCATGCCCACGACATCGCGTTTCTCGAGAATCAGGGGAATTGCCTTGCGCTGGATGGGCGTGGGGACAGAGAAGCCCTTCCGAGTGATGGCTCTTAGGAGGTTTGAATTTAAACCTATGAGCGGTGTGTAAGCTCTCCCACCTTAGTCGAGCGCAACATGACGGGGACACGAACCCATGGCTTGGAAGCCGCCGCCCTTTTTGACCGATTTGCCGTGCAGGTTGGAGGTTTTCCGGTTCGACCTCCGCTGCTGCATGGCAATGAAAGCCTCGTCGCCATCGGCGTCGTCGGAATCACCATCACCGCCGGCGTTCAGAAGATCGCCAAAATCAAGGTCCGCGGGCTTCTTGTTGGCCTCGCCATCGCTCTCGCTGCCGGTTTCGTTGGCAAACAAGGACCCGGCAATATCGACCTCGTTCTCTGAAAAAGCCCGGGATGCTGCGCGTCGTCCCGGCATGCTGATTCGTTTGCGCTGCACCGGAGCAGCCTGAAGTCGCCAGAGAGACTCCGGAAAATCGTCAATGGGCGGACACAGAGGGCACCTCTAGCGCAAGGGACCTGTATCCTGGCATGCTATGAAAGGCTGCGATGAGAGCCAGGCCATATGTATTTTTCGGACTTCCCAGATTATAGTGGGCCCGCTGTGGGGAGTTACCCACTTGTAGCTTATCTTACGATAAGCTTCAATCATCAGCCGTGATCGTTCTGGGCATGGGACCAACAACCTTCATTCACCCCAAGACATCCGTATTGCGTACGCCCCAGAGACTCAAGCTACGTGCCACACTCAGGTCGATACTACCATTACAACAACTATCTGAAATGGCTACAAAAGAGACAACAGATGAGGCGCCGGCCGACAATCGAGATGCGCTCGAGGTGCTGGAAACCGAGGCCAAAGAATGGGAGAAGGTGCGCACATCGCTTGTCTTCGGTTGACTGTTCATGCCGTTGCTGACAACACCATCAGGATGCCGAGATTGACCGCATATTGAAAGCCTTCAGGCTGGACGCGTGTGTTACTCCCTCACACTTGACCGACTCTCTCTCACAGCGACACTAATACTTCCAATCCCCCTTCCCAGGTACGCCGTCCTCGGGCTCAAACCAGGCGTGCCCGAATCCGACATCAAAGCCGCCTACCGCAAAAAGTCACTCCTCATCCATCCAGACAAGACCAAGAACCCCCTCGCGCCCGAGGCTTTCGACCGGCTAAAAAAGGCCCAGACGGAGCTGATGGACGAGAAGCATCGCAAGAACCTTGACGAGGCCATCGCCGACGCGCGCATGCTGCTCATCCGCGAGAACAAGTGGACGGTCGACAGCCCCGAGCTCAAGACCGAGGAGTTCGAGCGCAAGTGGGCCGACAAGACAAAGTTCGTGCTCATCGAGAACGAGCAGCGGCGGCGGCGGCAGCTCAAGGCGCAAATGCAAGAGGAAGGCCGCGAGCAGCGGCGCCAGGAGGAGGAGGCCGAGCAGCGGCGTAAGAAGAGGCAGCACGAGGAGGACTGGGAGGCGACCCGAGACCAGAGGATCAATAGCTGGCGGCAGTTTCAGAAGGGCAAGACGGGCGGGGACGAGGGCCCCGAGAAGAAGAAGAAGAAGAAGCTCAAGCCTATTGGTTGAGAACCGCCATTTACTCCGTCATTTTAGGTCGGACTGGGCCCTACCAGCTCTTCTACAAGGGGATACGGAGTCCTCTCCGGGGAAACACTACCTTACTGTGAGTTGTCTTTTAGAGAGTGGGCGCTTCGTTAACCCTGACCATGTGGAAGGATCTCGCCGATACCAGCCTATAACAGGAAGTATCCGTAAAACAGTGGCAGATGCTGGGAATGTGAGGCTCGACTTATACGGTCCGTGATTCAGCTTCGCAGGCAGTGTCGTGACTGTTGACTTATTGTTCTCTTATAGCCAACAAAATAGCCAGCCAGGTCCGACGGAGGCCGGAACTCTCCTACCTACAGAAACGGCTAGACCCATTGCACAGAGTCGTCTGTGGGCAAGCCAGTCCTAACCTCCATCTCAGCGGAAACAGCCGCCTTACTTCGGCGCATGTTTCTTCTTATATTGCACAAACCGCCCCAGATTCAACAGCGCCTCGTCCGCCCGCGTCCTCAGCTCTGCCTGCGTCCTCTTATCGATACCCTTAGTCAGCGCCTTCATCTTTGGCACAAACTCCTCGATATGCTTCAGGAAGCCGTCCTTCCAGAAAACTTCCTTGTCGCACGGTACCTCCTCATCGCCGTACATGTCGAAGAGCTGGTTCAGGGCCTCGATGACGTCGGCCGGCGGTGTCGTTTCCTGGCCGAGCAGTGTCACCAGGAAGACTCCCACCTCCCGGTTCACCTCGAGCGGGGCGGGATCGCGGGCTAGCGAGCCCAACACGCCAATGCATTTGACCCCGAGACCCTGGAACGGGTCTTGCGTCCCGCCCTCGCTCGTACTGGGCTCGGGTTGCTGCATCTGACTTTTGGAGGCCTGGTAGAGCGAGATGAATTTCCGGTGCGGGCTGCTGTTTGCAGGCGTCTCGCCGGTGAGGACCCGGGCGATGGCCCAAGCCAGGCTGGTTACTTGTGTGGCTAGCTTGAGGTCTGCGCTGTCGGCCTCAAGAATGGGCGCTATTGTCTTACGCCAAATCTTCTTAGCTGTCAGGTACCATGCACCGAAGACGTTGGCATTCTCGCCGTTGGCAAACTCGAGGCAGGAGATGGTCCAAGCGATGTTGTTGAGCGCGGAAAGAGAATGGGACTGGATGGCAAGGGCTTCTTCACTGTCGACGGGGATGTTGGAGAGTCGGATGAGCTGTGGAACGGCTTTCTGAATGAGCTCCCGGAGGGTGGGTAGGTCGTCGATGTGGCTGGCTCCTGAGCCCTCTCCCGCCGTGACGAGATCCATGTCGGCTTCGATCTCTGAGTCGACTGAGTCGTCCTCGCCTTCGTCACCGTCGTCCTCATCTTCACCTTCCCCATCCTCTTCAGGTCCGGCATTCGAACCTTCATCGACTTCCATTGCGTCCCCGTCCGCGCCATCAATGCCATTCCACTCCTCATCAGCCTGGGCAGGCCCAGAAGGTGTGCGGTTGCCCTTGACGAGCGTTTCTTGGAAGTCGGTCCCGATAGATGTCAATATTTCCAAAGCGACTTGGGTAATCTCGAAATGGCTCGAAGTGCCGTTGGTGGTCGCGGTGCCCGGGGTGACCTGTTCCAGCGCCCGAGCCAAACTGGGGATCAGGGCCGCATCACATGCTCCGTCCTTGCCGGGGCTGTGGTCGAGCCATTGTAATGACGAGAAGACATTATGCAGGACACCACAAGACAGCACCGCTCTCGGGCCAGCTCCGGTTGCGAGTTTTAGCAGGACGTCGTAGCACCGCGTCTCTTGGTCATTGGTCATCGCCTGCCCGAGCTGTAAACTGTCTTCGGACAAGGTCATGAGACAGGACATGGCCTCCTCGAAGATCTCCTGAGGCGCAATGTCTGTGGAGGCCAAACGGAAGAGGAGGCGCAGGATGGTCTGGTTTCCTACAATGGCTTCCAGGATCTCTTCGCGGGCTAATGCCAGGAGACCTACAAGAGTGAGCAAGGAGCTGGTGATGTCCCACACCAGACGTTGTTGAGCTCTCAACAGCTTTGCAAAGGAGGGCTCGGTTGCAGTAAGCGTTTCGAGGATCTGAGATGCGGTTAGTGACCACGATGCCACCACCTAAAGAAGGGCCATAGGGCTTGGATTACCGCCTTGACAGCATGCTCAATCGCGGTGAGGATGTCGAGCCTGTACAAGTGAACACAGAAATCCGCCTCCTCTTCCTGGGCGAGAACCTTGAGGATCTCCCAACCCGCCGCCCGGCTGTCGATGCTGTTATCTGTGAGGGTCTCGGTGAGGACAATATGGACGACCTGTTCCCTCAGAAGCAATTTCCTGCATTTTGCATCCTGAACGATGTTGGCAATGGCGCCAGCAGCTGCTGTCCTGGACTTTGCTTCTGGGCTCTGCAAGTCTCTCAGGACGGGCAAGATCTTGCTCTCGCGGAGCTTGGCGAGTTCTGGGTCTGATGGCGGTTTCACGGGCTTTGCGATGGGATCGCTGCGGTTTCCGCGCATTCTATTCCGGCGTGATTTTCCCATGCTTCGGCAAAAAAGGACTGCTGCGAATTGCAGTTACCAATATTTGAGGTTCTGTAGGAAGCAGTTTGACTTTCTGCACCCTCACACATTCGAAAACGGTTGCCGTGTTGACGAGAACTTCTGGTGAAAAAATACCCAAGGAAAAGAACGCCCCTCTTTCAGGTACCCCACAAGTACCCACCAGTCCCGCCTTGAGGGGACCAAGCTTGAGCCAAGCTGCAGCCAGGCTTTGTGCGCTCGGGGTTGAGTCTGTCAGTGGGGTCCCGTCTGCTGTGGGAGTGGATCGACGCTTACCTTTGCAGGGGCCTTGTCTGGAGAGACACGTTGAGATCCCGTCTCGCAGTCGCACCACCTCCCATAGCACACGGCCGAGCGCCGCAACTCATGAGTCGGCCCTTCTCCATTTCGAGATCGCGTCACCAGGCGCAGACAGATCCTGGACGGATGCATACAGCACGCGCTGGACCGTTTCGATGACGACTGACCATTGATTTTACAGCTGAGGACCTCGTCCGCCGAGAGGAACTTGAGCGAAGACAAGAGAACAGGGATCGCATTCGCGCCCAGTAGGCAGATCAACATGGGAACAATGTTTCTCAGCCATGAGGAGTTAGGCAAGAAGGACGACGACCACAAGCCGACCAAGCTCCCCTCGATTCATCCGCGATGGAGCGCTGCTACTGGAACCCCGAGGAGCAGGATGCTCAAAAGGCTTGCGATTGCCTTTGCCCTGGGCGTCTTCATCTATCTGTTCCTAGGCAACCTACCGACTGACGTACCCATCCGTGACCGACGCCGCCCCATATATCGCCCCGAGTTCGAAGCTGGTAGGCCCAGTGCGCCGGGCCCGATGCCGAAGCTGACGACCGGTCGGAAGCCCCAATATCCGAACCTCACGCCCGCTCGGCCTGTTCAGCCGGATGCTGTCTCACTTCAGGCTGCTTACAACGGGCCCATCGTGTTTCCAAGGCTCCGCTCCACGCTCCAGGCGATACACGCTACGGACGGAAGCTCGCCTGTCAATAAGAATGTGTTATACGCTGCCGCAAGCTTGAAGAGCGCTGCGTTGCTGTTGCCAATGGCGTGCCAAATGGCAGATGAGTTGAGGAACTATGTCCATTTTGCCTTGGTTGGCGGGAGCGAGATTGACCTGCAGGAGCTCCGTGCTGTCAATGGCATTGATAACTCTTGTCAAGTCATATTCCATGGTATGGCGCGGCCAATTCCTGATCCCCGCCTCGGCCCCCCCCCCTCCCCTCAAGGGAGAAGACTCGGATTGACTTGGTTATAGACGCTCGCCCCGATTATGCAGGAGCCTCAGCTCCTGAACGTCTACGGCAGAGTTCAGTCCGTGCCTTGTGTATGTCTGATTGCTCGTGGCAGCTCAACCCATGTTAATCACTTGCAGACCACATCCACAATCACATGCACCCACAGGCTGTGATTGTCGATGCTTCGGATTTAGAGGAAGACTACTTTCTGGCCGGATTCAGGAAGCAAGCTCCAGTCTCAGGCATCCCGCTCATTGAATTGCCTGAACATGCGCATTCCAGGCTCGCCTGGACTACAAAACTGGACAGCTCGTCGTTGGCAGGTACTGACACCAACACGCCGCCCGCATCTGTGACACCGCTAACGTGACGAGCAGCTTGGGACAAAATCAGCATCGACATCCTGATCAACGCCCAGCCCGCTGCCTCGGGGAACCTCATCCATCTGCTCAAGTCCTTGTCGGCTGCCGACTTCTCGGCGGGATCGGTTCCGCATTTGACAATTGAACTGCCTCCTGATGTGGATGGTGCAACGACCGAATTTCTGAAAGCCTTCCAGTGGCCCCCCCCCGGTTCCAGTCGACCCTCTTACCCTAGGCAGCTCACCCTCAGGCACCGCATACCACAGGGTCGGCTGACCGAGGAGGAGAGTTCTGTACGGTTCATCGAGTCGTTTTGGCCAAGCAGTCCGCAGTACTCACATGTGCTGGTCCTGTCGCCGCAGGCCCAGGTTTCGTCCCAGTTCTTCAATTGTAAGCATGGATTCCGTGATTGGGGAGTACTGTTGCTGAAGGTTGCTTGTTAGACCTCAAATATTCTGTGCTACACTACCTATACTCGAAAGCGGCTCTCACGCAGGAGTGGGATTCGAGGCTGCTCGGTATTAGCCTCGACCTGCCTTCGACCCATCTAGATGGCTCAAAGCCGTTCACGCCTCCTTCGGGAAAAGGAGAGATCCCGTTGCTCTGGCAGGCTCCAAACAGCAACGCTGCCCTCTTCACGGGGCAGAAGTGGACTGAGCTACACGCATTCGTCTCCAAGTTGCTCGAATTCCAACACAGAACTCAGCCGCTGCCTTCCTTCTTCACCGACAAGCTTGTCAGCAGGAGGTATCCTTCATGGCTGGAACACGCCCTGAAGCTCTCGCGTGCCCGGGGTTACTGGACCCTTTACCCGAGCGAAGCGACGGCCAAAAGTCTGGTTACCGTGCACAGCGAGCTTTACAGAGCCCCCGAAGAGTACGAGAGGGAGGCAGCGAAGGAGATGCCAGGGAATGCCCCGTTGCCCGTCTCAGGACGAACGCTCCTCGAGAGCTTGCCTAGGGATGGCAGCCTGTTACCATTCGACGAGATGCCACTGTTGCTTTGGGACGGGAGGGTTACTGAACTCTCGAATTTGGATAATGCTGCGGCAGCCTATGCGAACGAATTCAGACGTGCGGTAGGGGGTTGCCAGGCTCTGGCACCAGAGGACCTCGTCGCTAAAGCGTCGATGAAGGATCTGTTTTGCATGAAGGATGAATGAAGGAGTCGGCTTTGATACGGAATTCCGGATTGACGATGCTGGACAAACTATCTTTATATATAACGTTATATATAACGTGATCCACCATTGACTCGGACCCCCCATTGACTCGGACACATTTTCCCCCACCATAACCACCCAAC